TTGAAAAATATAAAATTTCTTCGGATACGCTGTTGCCGGCACACTGTTTTTCAGTTATCCAAAGCAAAAGCAATTTCTCGACACGATCTAATGTCTTCGATCTCTGCTTAGAAATTGATTTAACCCCTTTGCAACGTTAGTAGATTTAATAATGTCTTTATTTTTCGCGATTGTCGATATCGTCGTTCTCGGAATATGGTAGGCAACAGTTAACTCTCGAAAACGCGTGCCACCTTCATATTTCTCAACAATCTGTTTTTTCAGTTCCATTGTGATTCTAGTCATTTTTTTATTTTTCTGTTGCCTTTTTGCAATTCTTGGTTAATAAAAATAATAAAATTTTACTTACAAATTAAAATCAGAAGAAATTTAACAAAGTTATAAACTGTGGCACCGCGAACGTCTAGTCTGGTGTAGTATACCGATAGTGCAACTTGTTCATAGATGGGAGCGTATACAGTAATTGAATTAAGTCGTATACCAAGCAAAATTTGTTTCGTCTAAACAGGACGTATTCCGAATTTGACGTATTCTAAAGCAGACGTATACCGAGGTTCCACTGTATTTTATTGATTGCACAAATCAACCTTCAAAAAGTCATTAATTTATTTTAATACGGTGGAATCTCGCTTAACGAGCACCTTGCATAATGAGCAAAACAAATTGTAAAAAACTGCCTCACTTAACAAGCAATGCTTCGCATAACGAGTGACAAGAAGAGGGAAAGTCCCGAATTGTGCACATGCTCCGTCAATCTGTGTTTAGCACTCATTCCGCTAGCATCTTAGTGTCGCTGGTGATCACATATTTTTCCAAACTTGTGTTCACACATATTACTTTTAAACATCAACAACCATAGCCCGTTATTTAATAAACATGCCAAACTATATGCCAAATTCTTGGGCTATGTAAAGGCTATAATTAAATAATAGAAATTAATTAATTTGACTAGAGGTAAGCAGTTATGCTTCCATCTCGTATTAAATTTAATGACCAATTCCAAATTAAATTTTAGAAATGTCTGAATTAAAAATTAACTATCGGTATTTATAATTATTAAATTTAATATGAAATGGAAGCATGACTGCCTACATATAGTCAAATTAATTAATTTCTATTATTTAATTATATCCTTTATATAGACTTTACATAGCCCAAGAATTTGGCATATTGTTTGGAGTGTTTATCAAACATATTATCTGTGTTTTTTTCCCCCCTGCAAATTGAATTCTCATTACAGGTTGGTTCATTCCACGCTAGAAGAAAAGATGATGATGATTCACGCTCCTTAACAATGCACATTGTACAATTTACTTTGAATAAACGTTGTACATAAAATATTTGAGTATTTTTTTCGGTGTTGAATGAATTATTGTGTTTTACATTAATTTCTAATGGAAAAATTGTTTCGCTTAACAATTGTTTTGCATTACAAGTATGATTCTGGAACAAATTATGCTCGTTAAGTGAGGTTCCACTGTACTAAAAATTTAAGATAGTTTTTTTCTAGACCTAGCTTTATATAAAAACAAGTTGATGCAAGAATATTTTGTTCACATATATCTGATTTTTATTATGTATTAGTGATTAAAAGGATAGAACGGATCTGCACTGAACATCCTACAATGCAGAGATCCATTCTATCCTTTTAAATATTTTGTTTGAATTATGAATTTTAGAATTTAGAACATATGTTAACGTAAAGATGACTGTTTAAAGTAGTCAAAACATTAGTTTTCATTAAATTTATTGGTGTTTTGCTGGATTGTTTTGGTGTTTGAGTGTTTTTTTCTATTTTTTCTATTTAATAATAATACTTAAACAATTAACTATAAACTGTTTCAAAACAAAGCTAACTAAAAATAAACATCTTGTTATGATTTCAAAAAGGATATACAGTAAATTTATTAAGAAATAAGTTCTATAAATATAATAATAATGTCTTTATGATGCTTTTAAGATATTTTGAATCACTAATGTCCATATTCATAACCAAGGATGAAGAATTAGAGTTAAAAATTAACCAATAAATGTTCATGTACTAAAAGTAACGCAAATACAATTGATTAACTTCTAATTAACTCTTGATTCTTGATTGTGAATATGGCTGTAAAACACTCTTTTGGTGCTAATTTTTCTGGATATGTTTATCCTCATACAATGATTAGATATTGTAAGTCCACCAATTCAAGAATAATCTTTTGACTATTAAATGTAATAACAATAACCTTTCAAACATCCATCATAGTTTTCAGTTTTTTTAGCAAATTATATACAATGACTTTGTATGAAGATAATTATGTAAATTTGTAGTTATTTGAGTTTCATTTTAAGACTATCTACCAAAAAAAACATATATCTTACTTTGCAATATTCATAATGTAAAATATACTACTAGCAGGAATTTTCCTATACTGTTTATTGAATCAAATCTGATTGTTTTAGTAAATGGTTAAATGAATAATAAATCAGTTTATAAATATCTTTGGCAATATGAATGTATGGTATACAATAATAAATTTAATAAACCTTTAAGATAAACTAGATAAACAATTTTTCTGTTTAAACTGATACATAATTTCTTTAATTTTCTGTTAGTTTCATTTATTATATTAATAATATCTTTTTGAATTACTCCTATGGATAATTGTTTATTTTTTTATTTGTTTTTATTGCAGTTTTATGCTTAAAAATATGTAAAACAGGATATGAGATTATAGTTATTTGATAATGATTTAATATCAAAGTACAAGCTTAAGAGTTGAAAGATTTGTTCTAAAATCTAACTCATTTTAACAGAATAACATTTTTAAAAATGAATTTGTTTGAACTGTTTAAAATTATTTTATATTTTAAGCTTTCTCTAGTTATTTTAATACTAAAAGTTTGCTTTGTCTTAATTACACCTTAATAATAATAAACAGTGAAAGCATTTCTTCTTCCCAAAATTGAATCATGTATCATATAAACTTCTGTATAGTATTATGCAAAGTTGTCTGCTTTAAAATAATTTTATCATNAAATATGAAAAATGAAGTTGTAAACAATCTTTAAATGTCAAGTTATATAATTAAATTCTTTACTCAAACATGTATTCACATAATACACTGTTATTTTGCAATATAAAAATATACTATTTATAATATGTATAATACTTTATTTTATATTCAGTAATTAAAACACTATCATTGAAATTCAACAATCATTTAACAATGAAATAAGGAAGAAAATTTTAATTTGTATTAAAATTTTCAATTTTGAAAACACTGAGATTCCGTTGTTTGTTAGGAAGTCGTGTTGCATTAGAATAAACTCTTTGACTAAATTTGAATGTTGTTTATATTACTTAATTTTAGAGTTTTATACATAATAAATATTAAATTTTAATGATTTTTATATATAAAATTAATAATTAAAATAATTAATTTTAGATGTTTCGTACAAGAATTAGATTTAGCAGGAATGCAAGTAGATGTTGCACTTAGGAAATTTCAGACCTTTTTCAGAATGCCAGTGAGTACTATTTCATTTGTAATTTAGTAAATTATATTTATTAAGTTTATTTTAATCAAAATCTTACAGTAATTTTGAATAATACTGTTTGATAAATTTAAATACAATTTTCATAGTTATTTTAAAATTAAAAACAAAAATACGTTTTTAAGGAACATTATTTTTCTAAAATTAAATTTTAAAATGAAAACAACTATATTTGCAGAGTTGAACTACTTGTTTTTAATATGACGTTTTTAAAAATTTCATTTAACTAAAATTCTTTTTGTATTATCAAGTTCCTTGTACATTATTATTATTGTGAATTAGACTAGAACCATTGAGCCTTAAATGCATTTAAGTTTTATCATTTTATTAAAACTTATATTGTAGACTTTGAACAAAACATATTGAATGATTTTCAATCATATAAAAATTGATAATTTTTCTTATAAATGATAACATGTTCTAGAAACTTATTAATGTGTTCTCTCTGATCAAGTTTTCTTTCTGTTGTGATACTTTTCAAAAATTAAATTATTACTTGGATATCACATAACTTTGTCATGTCACAATAGAATTGAGATTGAGCTAGAAAGAAAGAAGCGATTCCCGCACTTGCACCACAAAAGAGGCTATTCTTGTACCTGCCATCCATGGGACACATGATCCTTGCACTTGCTGACACAGAGAGGCAATTTAAGAAAAAAGCAGTTGATATTAATTGCTTTGTTCTTGTGTTTTGTTCATTTTTCACAACCATCGTTATCTATAGGTGCATTAGATGTATGCAATGCTGTTTTTATTTTTGACCTCTAGGCCTAAATTTCATTAGGCGTACTCCATCACATCAGAGAGCACAGATATTGTTACTTTAATACCTTTGTACTTATATCAAAAAGGATGTCATGGACTCCTAATTTTACTTTCCTGGTTCTGTTATATATAACAAAGGAAAAGTATGGCAATCAATCAAAAAATGACTTTTCCAAGATATTTACATTTTTGCACTTGTGATCTTAAAATGTCAGAAATTGCAAAAAAATTTGGGAGTTTTTCTGTATGTATGGGTGTTAGTGTATGTGGGGGGGCACAATTTTGTTCATCCTCTTTGAAGTTTAATAACTTATGTGTTTTTTGTTGAAAATTTCTGAAATTTTGCAGGGATGTTTGTGTATTAGGGAGATTGATGCTATTAAATTTTTGTGGTTAAAGGTCAAGGAGGTGGAAGAAAAAGGCGGTCATGTGTCATAACTTGAGTAGAGTTGGACTTAAAGACAATTTTACTTGTTATTAGCATTTGAAATTTTTTTTATAAAACCATCCCTATCCTCAAAATTAAGCTTTTTATATTTTTAATTATTATAAAATGGCAAAAAGTTTTTTAAATGAAATATCGTAACAAATAGCACCACCAAAATTTTAAATGGCGCAGGGAAAGTTAAGCAACTCATTGCTGAACTTTTTAATTTAAGTGGACCCTCATTACATTTTTGAATTTCTCATCTCAATTAATGGAAAATGGCACAGTTTTATCAAAATCAGCCTATTAAATTTTGAGAACAAACTCAATTGTGTAAGCCCATAGAACATGTGCTGGCAACTGCGAAACATTACACGATAAAGTTGCGTGATTTGTGTGATATCACTTTGTCATGCACTCTGGAGAAATGACTGTATATCTCGAAAACAAAGTCATGGACCCTCCATTTATTATTACAGTTTCAGGTTCTTTGTTGCAATTAATGGAAAATGACTAAGTTTAATCAAAATCAATCAAACAGATTTTGAGAATGAACACAATTCTGAGTGCACAGAAGAGTTTTTGTTAACACACTGCCTCAATTATACATTGACTTGCATAGGAATTTGAATAAAAGAATGTTAATATTAACTACTTTAATTGCAAGTACTTGCACTTTTCGTATTCATGTGCCAAATAAATTGAAATTAAATACTAATAAAATACTCTAAATATTCAAGACAATACATAGTCTGTGACATCTCTTTCATTTAAAATTATATAAATTTTTTATAATTAAAAATCTTTTTCTACATTTTGGTAAAATGATTGAGATTCTCATATCTTAAGATAATCATTCAATTCTGTTGATTGTCAGTTGAACAAATTTTAAATCCATTAATTCTTCTGAATTTGATTAGTGCTATAGTCTTTTAATACTTCTTATTTTTTAAACAGTATATATATTTTTTATAATAAAATAAAAACAAAATAAAACTTAACTTAATAAACAGAATACAATATGTAGCCATAATCATTACAGATTTAGTAAATCATTATATGTATTTTACTCTAAATGAAACATTAAGATTTTATTTCTTATGTTTTTCTTAGGGTGAAGCTCAAAAAATTGAGAGATTAGTAGAAGTATTTAGCCACAGATATATAGAATGCAATCGAGACATTGTTGCTAAATTACAAAATGCTGATACTGTGTTTGTACTTGCCTTTGCTATTATAATGTTAAATACTGATTCTCATACACCAAATATGAAAGCTGAAAAAAGAATGAAACTTGAAGACTTTATTAAAAATCTCAGAGGTAAATTATTAATGCTAGACATATTTAGTAGATACCAATATGCTTAAAATAGAAAAAGTGATGAATACAAATGTCATTTTTATAGGTGTGGATGATGGAAATGATTTGGACAGGGATATGCTTGTTGGTATATATGAAAGAATTAAAGGAAATGAATTTAAGCCAGGATCTGATCATGTAACTCAAGTTCTCAAAGTTCAACAAACAATTGTTGGTAAAAAACCGGTAAGAATAACTCTAGTTTCTAATTATTAAATTTTTTATTATATACAGGTATCCGTTGTATAACACTGTAGTTATGTTCTGAAAAAGTGCCATGTTATGCAAATTTGTTCTATACAAAACATAGGGTTACATTCCAAAAGTTAGCAAAGTATACTATTCTTTTTTGTTACTAAGAGAAATATGTTTATTAAAGCAATCAATAATTAACTAACAATCACAATTGAAAGTACTGTATTACATGTTAATGTTAATTTTAGTTAGATTAGGTCATTTTCTTTTTACGAAGTATCAACGTCATCTCTACTGTTTTGTTGTTCTTGATCAGAAGTATCAGCAACATTTTCATATTATTTATTTTTATCATGAAAAATTTATATGTATAAAAATGCATTATTAATCAAAGATTTGTTCTAGTGGGGCACGTTTGTTCAGTTGAGTAACGAGCAACTTTTTCAAGAATGTGTGTTCAAGTACCATGATACTGCCATATTTCATTTATCATTTTACGGATGATTGCTTACCTACAGTTTAAAAAAGGTTTAATAACACTTATCTAAAAATAAACTTTATTAAATACAAAGATTAATCTTTAAAAACAAAGCCCTGTGACAGTCATAAGGGCTAGTCTGAAAGCAGTGATGACAACACCAGGTTGATAGGAAAGCTAGGACATGAAAGAAACAAACTGCACTATCAGTTTTCATTAAACCTGAAGAAAAACACAAAATTGAAAATTTCAATATTCTAAAATCCATGGGCAAATTTGAGATGAAATGCATGCTTACTTGAAATAAAAAAAAAGTATCAAATAACGAAGTTTACACTTAAAAATAGTGAAATTTTGTATGGATTTCCAAAATTTTGTTAGTGAAACAGGAAGTTGTGTTGTACAAGGGAGATGCCCAATTTTCAAACCATGTTGTAGAAGTATTATGTTTTACAAGGCATATCTGTGTGTAGTATAGTATATATAGTGTATATATATATATATATATTTATTTAAAATATTATATTTTTTATTATATATATATAATAAGAAATATAATATTTTAAATAAATTAATGTACTGTACATACTTTTGTAAATCTGAAGAAATTTATTACATACATTCTATATTTAAATCTATGGTTAATATTTACCATGGAGAAGATTTTTATTATTAGTTCAGGGCCTGTCTGTGTGACTTAGTAGTTCTGTAGTAGATGCCATTTTTACTGTGAAAGAATTGCTGTTGTCATTGTTGTCATCATTATTCTTTCTTTTTTACAATCTCAAAGTGACTGGAGGATTGTTTTTGTGTTTGTTTGTGCATTTGGTTAGAATTTCAGAATCTATGTTGACATCATGGTTTGAAGTGATGATAAATCCTACTGCATTTTGTGAGACTGTTATTTCCATATCATTTGCAATAGCTTCTATGAGATTGTAGACATTCTCATTGCTGAAAGGAAATCCAACTTAGAAGAAACAACCCTGAATTGTTTATGGTAGAACATGTGTCCAAGCACTTGAAATCTATAAAATGGCTTTAGAGGTATTGAGTTGCCTTCTCAGTGTTTTGAGCACTATGCTAATTGGCATTTATTGTGCTTCATTACCATTTTTCTGTACTTGACTTTGGATTGAGAGAGACAGTAATTCAAAATTTCATAGGTTGAGAGATTGAAGTGGCATTCATTGATAGAAATATAATTTTAACATTTTCAAGCTGGATGTCTAGATGTGATGCAGCATTGTCAAGAAACAAAAATACTTTCCTGTTTTGCAGCAACATTTTCCTGTTCAGCTTTCCAACTACTCGTCATAATTTCTCATATCATCTGGGCATTTGTTTGATTTCCATTAAGTTTCAAATTTTGTAATGTCTGTTCTTGAAATGTCTTGGTTTGGTAGCCTTTCCAATTGCCAGAGTTTATTCATGTTCTCCACTCATATTTGTGCATAACAATTCTGTTATGTACAAATAAGAGTGCTATGAGCACAAATTCTTTTGCTACTTTTTCCCAGAACACATTCATTTAGGAATGTATGAAAGAACAATCCTGTTACATCTGAGTTCAAAATACTTTGTTTAGGTATATGAATCTAAAAGAGAAAAAAAAAATATATGAATTTATTGAATTACATAAAATATTCATTGAAATATTTTGGAAGTGTTCTTAAAAATTATAATTACAGCAATGATTTTTACTTCATGTAAAATAAAGTAATTATATACAAATAGTTATGATGATCATTTATAATTTCTACAGTTAACTTCTATAATGTTTTGAATTGCAGAATCTAGCTCTTCCTCATCGTCGGTTGGTTTGTTATTGTCGTCTGTACGAGGTTTATGATGTGAATAAAAAAGAAAGACCTGGCATTCATCAGAGGGAAGTGTTTCTTTTTAATGATATGCTAATGGTATGAAGAAGTAATCAATATTTTTATCATCTTAATGTTAACAGAAACTTGTAACTTTTTTTTCTTTTTATTTTAGGTAACTAAAATTTTTAGTAAGAAGAAAAACAGTGTTACTTACACTTTCAGACAATCTTTTCCATTATGTGGAATGAGTGTCACATTATTTGAAGCACCTTGTAAGTCCTTACTTGTGATATCGCACCTTTTTTTAAATTTAATTTTAATTTTTAATGTAGTCCAAATTAAATAACTTACTTTTTAATAAATTAATTTTTTTTTAATTGTAGTTCTTAAAATTCAGGTAGAATATTTTATCTTCTTCAATTACTAAACAAAATAGAATTTTTACATTTTCTTTTTTATTAAACATATTTATTCTTACTCTGAATATTGAGGTCACACGCTTTATTATTGTATTAATTTTTCTTTTGTATTGTTATTTATTAGTTTGTGAATTTAGTTATAATAGCCCGTACATACAGGATTTTCCTTGTACAAAATAAATAAAATAAAAATAAATAAATAAATAAATATACATTGAGAGAAAATTTTAAATGAATATTCATTTTTTCATAGCATAATTGAAGACATAAACATTAAAAATAAACTGTTCTTTTAATTATATATTAATTATCTTCAAATGCCTATATTTCAACTTCATTATTATTATTATTATACCTAGTATATTGTTATTCTTTGATTTAGTTAATTGTGCCTTGAGTAGATTTGATTCTTCCTTGTTAAATATCTGCTCATAATATAGCAAAATATGAAAAAGGTTGATTTTAATTTATAAAATGTGTTTTCAAAAGATTTTCAAAATAAATAAATACATTTACATATTTAGACTGACAAAGCTAATTGATCTAAATGCCAAAAACTATTTTTTTTGGAAAATGGCAAAAACTGTTTTTCCATGACAAATAGAGCAAATGTTCTTTTCTGTAAGCATGCTCTTCAAAAACATATAATGAAAGAGGAATTTTTGTGTAAATACTATGGAAAATACTCACAAACAAGACAGTTGGAAATGATCTAAGTATCCTACACACAGTACAAAAATGTGAAAAGATTTAAGTCCACAGTCATTACTTACTTAAAATAGTGTTGAAAAAGGCTGTTCCCTTCATCTATAAATTCCAGCATAGCACTGACATCTTTCTTCTTGTTGGTATGCAATAGTTAGACCTGCTAGTACAACAGCTCTGTGGAATTAATAACTTGAAGAGTTATTTCCCTCTTGAACACACGACATTTTCCTACCCTATTAAGTCACTGAAGCTTGTTTAAGAAAACCCAATCAGGAGCATCTTTGTTCACTCGACCATGACACTTTTTATTTAAAAATCACTTGTTAAGATTTTTTTTTAATTTCTGTTATAGCAGGTGCAGTTCTCTTCAGTCACACAGATCAACTAATGCACAGAGAGACTTGGACATTCCATGAGCTCCATCTGATGATGCTTATCAAAATAAAAAGCATTTACACTCAAATAATATAGCAGTTTTTTGTGCAAAAATGATCAATTTGTATATTTTGCACTTAGATCATTTATCTTTAATACTCTGCAATAAAAATTACAATTTTATTTCATTAGTTGCAAAGGTCAATTATATATTCTCACTGTATAAAAATTATTAATAAATTCTAGCAATAAAATTTTGTAATTTTCCTTTATTTCTTGAATAATTTACAGATTATCCACATGGAATCAGATTGAGCCAAAGAGTGGATGATAAAGTGTTGATTACATTTAATGCGAGAAATGAACATGATCGATCAAAATTTGTTGAAGATTTGAAGGAGTCTATCTTAGAGGTAATAACCATTCAAAATTTTTCATTGTTTAAACTGAATCTTAAGTTCATTGTCATTGGCTGGTTTATTTTTTAGAATTAAATATTTTTCATTTATTTTTACACTTATTTCTTTTGTATACAGATTACATTCTTATAAATTATTTATTTTTGAAGTATATTAATTAAAATTAACACGTAAACAACAAAACAATAGTACAACTTAAGAATTTTTATTTTCTGTAGAAATTATCTTTAAGAGTAAAAATTATACATTATTATATTTTTGTTGTTACAATTAAATAAAATAAAATAATTTACCACATGCATGCATAAAATACTGTAGTAAACTATATAGTAATATAATAAATAAATATCATAAATGAAATAATTATATATATTTAAGATATATGTTAATAAAAAATACCAATAAATGTTGTATAAGTTAAAAGCTAAAAAAGAAAGAGAAAACAAGTTTGTAAGAAGAAATAACCACATAAGAATAATTTAAAATTAATAAATTTAGTACATGTTTAAATATAAAAAAAAAGCTTTTATTATTCTGATATTCAATTTAAGTCAAAACTTCTAATAATAGAATTTTTTTACTTTCCAAAAATCACACATTCAAACACACATTTGTGACATTATCATTTTCCTCAAGTGCATTTCATACATATATTTAAAATGTAACTTTATAAAATCAAAATAAAAAGATTAATGCTAAGTAGTTTAATATGTATAGCAAATCATTCTATTAATCTTTTAATATTCAATCAATTATTGAGTATTTACAAATTATTTATACAATTTTACAGATGGATGAAATGGAAAATCTTAGAATAGAAGCAGAATTAGAAAAACAAAAAGTAATGAGGGCAAGAGGAGCAGAAAACAGAGATTCTGGAGTGGCAGATATGGAAATTGTTCCAGTAGCAAATAAGGAAGGAAAATTATCTCCTGATAGTCAGTCAAATAATTTAAAACGTTCAGCTTTATCAAATTCATTGCTTGATTTACATGAACAACGTAAGTATTTATTACATTAAAGAATTGTAATGGTTTGCTTTTTATGTGTGATCATTTATTACTTTACCTAATTCTATAGAGGAAAAAAATTATCTAAAAGTTTTTATGTTAAATTTTACAGTTTGAGAAATTTAAAATTAGCAATACACTTAAGCTGAAGCACAACATTTAATCTGTTAATTTACTGAAAACAAATTTATAAAATTTACTAAATGTTTAACCATACTGTAGATTATGAGAAGTCTTGTCAACATCCTGTATATAGCCTAAACCAATAAAATTACTCTCTCATAAATTTTGACATTTGCATACTTAAAATTATTACATGTAGAGTAATAATTTTCAGTTGATACTGTTAAGAAAATTTCAGAGCCTACTCAAGAGTATCAAAAGCAGCAGATTATGTTGTCATTAAATAAATTAATTTTATAACTTAGATTTAATACAGGGGATTTTCTTGCATTGATTTCCACATAAAAACATATTTTCAATCCAACACACTTAAAATTTTTATTTTCCAAGATTTTGTGCAAATCAATTAATGAATTTCCTACATGATTGTTGTTGTTCTTATTTGAAAGTTATTTGAAATTCTCAAGAAAGCACAAAAAGTCTGATTGTTCATCAACCCCTTTCAAAATTCCATTGACACTGTTAGGAATCTCTGGTTTAACAGATTCCTAACATACCAACATACATGGAACAATTATTTAATGATATCAAATCTGAGATGATGCAGATTTGGAATATTCATATATAAATGGACTTTTTTATCTAAAAAAAACAGAAAATCATGCAGAGTAGTCAGAACTATTACCTCAACATTTCATGTTAGTTTGAAAATTTCATACAATATTTTTAATACGTTTGTTGGAAAAAATGTAATATACTGTGTTGTCATAATCATGCAAAGCTCTCCTTCATTACATTTATATGAACTAAATAGCTGTTACCCACAACTTCACCCATGCAGATTTTGCAAACAAACACCATTTATATTTAGTATTTCAACAACCATAGTTCAATATTGTTATATAAAACCTACCACTGAGAGTGATGAGAATCAAACAAACTGTTTTCAATTTGATCAATTTTCTGGAACACTTACAATTATTTTATAATTGAACCAATATGCAATAACAAATTTGAATTTAAAACGGTTTGAGCATTTGGTTAAAAAATTGAAATATATAAAAATATTTATAACAATGTCTGAAATGTTATAAATTTAATACACCTAAGTACTCAATAAAGACTAAATGTAGTTGAAAATAAAAAATTGCATCTAAAATAATACAGTAGAAGCCATTCTTTAAGTTAAGCCTTAAGCCTCTCCCTCTCCTCTCGCAGGGGAATTTTGAAAAATCCCTTCTTAGTGTGCGTTTTCATGATGTACCCTGTGTGCCAAATTTCACCTCTTTAGGTTCAGCAGTTTGCTCTAGATGAGTCATTCAATCAGGACAAGTAATATTATATATTTAGATACTAATAAGAACTTTCAAGAAATCTTTTCTTTAGTTTTGTAACTGTTTTTCATCTCTTCCCAGGAAATTAATAATAATAATGTTAGATATTGGAAGATTTAATAAAAATAGCATAGTAAATATTAAATTATTATAATGTTATGAGATTCAAATTAGTTAAGTCTTAATAAGAATATCTGTTTTAAAATAACAATTAATATGAGTATACTTAAAATATATAAATATAAGCTAAATTAATTTCATAAAAATTAATTTATGAAATTCATAACAAATTACTTTTTTATATTCTAGAAGCTAAACCAGTCAGAAGAGGAAGTGCCGGTTCATTAGATAGTGGAATGGTAAGTAATTTTATTTGTAGTTTTACTAATTATCAATTAGTATTAATTTTAAATATTATTAACTTTATAAAATAAAGTAGTTTTGAAATTTGTTTTATATTGTTTATTAAACTAACAACTTCTATGTAATTCCTAACAGGAAAATTTATTAAAAAGCATATATTAAATTCTTTGTGTACATTTTAAAAATGATTGTCAATTAACTCAAAGTAAATGTCTTTACATGTGATCTTTTTAAATGAAAATTAGATTTCTAATGCTTATTTTATAGTTGCGTTTGAAATTTATAATAATGTTCTTCAATCTTTATATTAACCTATTGAATCATAATGATATATGCTTTTTATCATATTTATCAAAACTTGTTACCTAATACAGTACAATGATTTATAAGATGACATCTTAAAACTATTTTAAAGAAAACAGCATGTAAGGATAATATAGTTTAACATAATATTGGTATAGAATAGTTCTTTTTATATATTTTTTAACTTTGTAAGCTGTCTAGAACTATTATTATGCATATTATTATACAATGTATTTTGATTTGAAAGCAATAGAATTGAAAAATATTATTCCTTACAAATGAAATTTTATACTGTAGATTGAAAAGATAATGTAATCTAAAAATACATTTCTTTGAAATAAAAACTTTGATCATACAGCTGACCAAAATAATGGAAAAATATATTAAATAACCATTTTATAAATGTTCCTGGTTTAAGAACAAAAAAATACATAAATCACTTTTAGAAAATATAATATAGCATTTTAAAGATGAATATCTTTAAAATGCTATTGAATTGTATAATGGAACATATATTTAATATATATTGTAATTTTAATTATATGTCAGTTAAAACTATCAATTTTTTATTAATTGAAAAACTAATCAGGATTAATCCCATTCAGAAAATTGTTTTGTAATTTAGTTGTTATTGAAATCATAGAAAAACAGCTTTATAACTTAAGCAGTTAAAATATGTATAGAATATTATCATGTGATAATACAGAACTGAAATTTATATTTTATATAAATTTCAAAGAAGGTAAAAATGCATAATCTTGTATAAATATTTGGTTCAAAGTATCTCTTTACATTTATTAATAAATCACCAATCAATCTATACATCGATTGATTTCATAGTTACCTGTAATATATATTATACTTTCCAGTTAATGATAGATACACTGTTTAAATAATGTTAATATTAGAATAGATTTTTTGAGCATAGAAATATGATTATAGCAATAATTTGTATTTAATTGAATAAAATAGAATATGGAAAACAAAATAAAAAATATCATAGTATATATTTAGGCACATGCATAATTTTCCAATAAAATTTAAAAAATTCATTTTTATTACAATAAATGAAATTAACATTCAAACAAAGCTTCTCGTAAAGAATTTATATATAAGATTGTAGTTGATTGCAAAATATTACAAAATGAAGAGCATAAAAATCAAATCATGTAAAAATTGATTGAGTGGTTTATTATCTTTTCAGCATGCTGTAGGAGGACAGGAATAGTTCTCATTGTCATAATTCTGTTTGATCCCATCACAACAGTTTGACCGACCAGTGGTGGGTATTCTATCAAATTCAATATACAAACTGTCAGTAGACAAATTCATAAAATATTCCCAAACAATTATATTTAGAATCAAAACAAATTTTAAAATAATTTTGGCATTTGATTGAAAGTTTTTAAGTTGTAAATGAGAAAATTTAATATTACTTATAATTATAAATACCAGTATTTATAATATTCTACAACCATTATTTTTGATTCTTTGAATTTATATATATAATAAATTGCATTTTGATTTTTAAATTGATTATAATGCTTTTTTTTTTATTATTTTCCAATTTAAATTAGACTCTTAATTAACCAGGATACCGAAATTTAAGTCATCACATCATATTTCCACAAATCTTATAAGAACATGTTGATTATTCAGAGTATAAGATCAAATTCTTATATAAAAGGCAAAATCAGCACTATATTCTATTATATTCTATTTTTAAAGAAATGTTTATAGTATGAGAAGCATTTATTTTGAGTATGAAAAATTTAATTTAATTAACTAATGGTTACTAAAGATATTACAGGATAGTTACAATGTCAGTACATTTAATTTACACTGTAATAACATTACAGTGCTCTTATAAGCCAAAAGAAGTTGGCATACACAAGAGCATGCTCTTATTTGCATAGAATACCTCTGCCCACTTTTTTTTAAATTTACCTGTTCTGTTTACTTTAGTTTAGGATCTAAGTGTATAAGATTAACTGGATGATATTTTTTCCATTCATCCTGAATAATAGAGAGTCTGTATATAATTTTATATAATTAAAAACTTGAACTCTTAGTATCAAAATTATAATTTTTATTAATAATATAGCTTGTCACAATATCAATACATAATTATACTGTTTACTAAAAGAGAAAAAATCATTAATTAATGAATAAAACAAATTATGAAATTTCTCATTAACAACTTAAAGATATTAATTAAACTCCAGACCACAATTATAATTAAAATTTACAGGTTCAGAAGAAACTCTAAAATGTTTCTTTTGAACTTGTAAATTTTAACATAACAATAAAAAAAAAATCAAATGTGCATAAAATTAACTACAGTTTGTGGAAACAAAATTATAAAAATTCCTGTTTTCCAAAATAATTTTGAAATACTGAACTTGCATTCATTTATTATTACAAAGTTCTATATTCCATTGGTACAGTTTTTATTTTTACAAGAGAATTTGATAAGAATAAATTTAGAATAATTTCTAAAAAATATAATGTTTCGTGATCATTGTTTTGGATCACTTTAATACAGATTATTTATTATTATTATAGCATATTGATACCATTTTTATCGTAATTAATTATTAATAATAATTTACTAAGGAAAGAAATTTAATTTAATTAAGCATTTGATAAAAAAGATTAAAATTGATTTTGTATATACAGTTTGAAAAAAAAAATTTCCAAGATGCTGAAATGCAAATTCAACAACTATATTTACATATTACAGAAGTGATATAAAGGATTCAAGTGAAAGTAAAACAAAATTTTGATATGAAATAAGTTTCAAATTTAATTCTATCATAGAATAAAGATATTTCTAGCACATTTATGAATCGCACATTATACAGTTCTATGTAATTTACAACCATTGGTATTAGGAGTAATTTTGTAGCATGGGATTCATGCTACCTCCAGAATTCATTTGATATTGTCACATAAAATTGTATTTTTAAACTATTTATTTATAAATATTTATATTTTGTAAAACTGTTGGCATGTGGTTTTACTGTAGAAAACTTAGTAATGCATTTTTATAATCATTTAATAAAAAAGATGAGTACATCTTATTGATCTTAATAGATTAATGAGATATACTTATTTTTTATGTACTTTTTGTACATAAAACAATTTCTTTTAAACAATTTTGAAAAATTGCTTAAAAGAACAAAATACAAAGGTACATAAATGTTTTGTACCACTAATGACACAAATTATTCTTTAACTTTTTGAACTTTAATTTTCCTTAGTAAAATTACTACTATACTATAACAGATTTCTAGAAAAGTCTGCCAATTGGATAATGACGTTACTTGCAACTATGTAAATGGTTCATTAGTGTTTTAATTAGTGTGATGATAAACTGTGAAAATTATTATAGAATCAATCAGTATTTTCAAGTTAAAGTATAAACTTTAGAAATATTTATATTCTTCAGTATTGAAATTTGTATCTTGTTAAAATACAAATTTTAATATTTGAGCAAATCAATATTTTTCCATAATATACAAATTTTCTTCTACATATTTATATTTTTAATTAAAACACATCCACTTAAAAGTGTGTAAATATCAACAGACATTGTAACGTCGTAACTGTATTGGTGTTTAATTATTTTTACAGTTTTCTTTGAAGTCAGATATAGAGAGATTTTTATTTAATTTTCGATTATCGGCTAGAATGGGGCTGTTTTTCTGCCGAACACTCGCCACAGTATTCTATCTAGTTACATTATTATAAAAAAAATTTAAGTTTTTAAAGAATTTTCTGCATAGAAAAGCTTGATCTGAAACAAGCCAGGTAAGATTACTTGGCTCTTATCTGTTGTTGGAGATCCGGAAGAAGAAAAATAGCCCCAAACTAGACAGCATCTTAACAAATGTTATAATAATAAAAGGTGGAAATTTAATATTTAGTCTCTATTTTTCATTGCAGTCTGTATCTTTCCAGTCTTCTACGGCTAGTACGGTCAGTCACGACTCTTCTCCCCAAACGAATCCGTCTACTCTGGCAGGTAGACCCGGACACGGAGAAGCGGCAGGTCCGTCTTGCTCCGGGACCAAACCTTCCAGCCAGCAAGGATTTCTGGGAGGACTTTTTGGCAAAAAGGGAAAAGTGCCCCATAAACCGCCCGTGCGTAGAACCGCGGACACTACCGACATATAACAATAGATATAAATATATAATATACATGTAACAATCGGGACTCTAGTTTCCAATTCTCACACGGGACTTTCCTTTTGCTTTTTCTTCATAAATTATTGTCGTTGCGGTCCTCATATTTTTTTTTTAATTTAAACTTTATTAAAAACCAGAAGTATAATAATAATATATTTTATAAAGAGTGCCAAATAGTTTGGCTGAAAAAAGAACGTAAAGAAATTGAAATGCTTACATAAAACCACGAAGAAGAAGAAATGGTAAATGATGATTTATTGTGTTTTAATTTACAGATTATTCCAGTATTATTTATATACTGAGTGAACAATTGTAAATATATATAACGAGCAATAGCTCCTTGTAAATTATCTAACTAAATTGTACATAACCCGCAGGCATTAGCTGTCTCTGGTGTAAACATATAATTATATGCATGTTAATTATTATATTATTATTATTATTATTATTATTTAGTTACAAGATTTAATATATGTTCTTAAAAAAATTTTGCATGGCTTTTCACTATTGTTAACTGATAACCGGTTATATATATATGAATATATATCCGCACCTTTACGTTATCGAAGAACTGAACTATCCCGTACTCATTCACACACTATTCAGTCAGAAATTTGTGTTAATCACCGAATATTTTATGTAAAATTAGATTATGGAAAACAAGGGAAAAAAAGAGAATTTATTTTGAATTTAAATTATTTTCTTAAAAGACTAAAATTGTTGTTTAAGATTTTCATAATTCCATCCACAGACTTTACTAGTTTCGATATTTGAAAAGTGTTAGTGACCAATTTGTGAAGGATCAATTTCTATGTATATGTAAAGTGTTTTCAAAAAGTCATATTCGGTTTCTGTCCCGGTGTTTTTTCGATGGATCGTGCGTTTTAGCACGTTGGATAGATGATCGAATACAATAATCTACGTATATATAAAAATCTATATAATTATTTTTGTCTTATATGCATAATTTCTATTCTTCAGATCTTTTTCTCTCCTCTTTACGTTGTTGATTTGCTATATTATAATAAAATAAAAGTGTACAATTTTCTTTCATTCCAGACATTGTATAATTTTCTGTACTTATTTAATATACATTCAGCCATATTTATGACAATAAAAAAATTCTCAGATACGAAAACCATTCTCTTCTGTTCTTTTGTCTAAAAATACACCCAAACCTACTAAAATTATATTAACGGTTATATTTAGATACTGACGCCTTTCTACTAAAGAAGTTGTAATAAGAAGAATTAACCCCCACTTACGTTATAAGATCGATCCTCGGTTCAAATTGACCCCGATTTAACGGATTTCGAAATAACGAACCAAAAATTAGCGAAATTCTGAAGCAGTTGAGGTTTTGAGTAGGGTTCGATCTGCTTAGGTTAAGGTCGTCATTTTACTGTATATTTTATATTCAATTTTAATATAAATCAACGAATAATCACACATTAAGTGTCGATTCATCGTCTATTGAATTTATCATCGAGATTGACAGAAATTTCGTGCATAGGATTTTTGGCTACGCTGTGTGTGTCATCTCTGCACGTGAACGAATTGATGATTGTATCGGTAAACTAGAAACTTGCATTGAAATATGCCTATAAAATACATCTTTCTATGACACGATTAATTAAGTAGAATGATAAATGTGTATTTTATCGAACGTTTTGCTGTCCACGCTTATGGCGCCGATGTTTATGGCAATTGAAAGGAACTGAAGGCCGATGATTAATGGAATTTCGCGACTAACTTGAGAAATTTTCTTGGCATTCTTCTATTAATCGAAGCAAACAAAACTCGTCCAAAAAAGGAAAAAATTCCAAAATCTAATTTCAAAAATATCAAGCTGTTTTTCAATAATCGATTATATAAAATGTTGAAAATTCGTCACAATTTAAGGATCGTAATGTAAGAATCACTTAACAGGATGAAAAATTGAAGGAGAATTATATAAATCATACTTAGAAATTTTTAAAATTATACTCCCTAATGGTCTTTTCTTATTACACAAATCTTTTAAAATAAATTGTTAGAAATTGTCTTAACATTTATTAAATGGTAAAAGAAATCTTGCAATTTTGCTTGAACACCAAAATGAACGTTTGATTATCCTTTTTACAATTGGTACTGAAATTACTGTAAACAATTTACAGAAATTTACATTCATTTAATTCATATTTTTGATATTTATTACTTCAGTGCCAAATCAATCTTACTGTCTCGACCATTTGTTTTTTGTGGTAAAGACAGACAGAAATCTCGGAAATTTTTCACGGGCAGATTGTTCCGGATATGTCGAGTTTCCGTTCCTTGCCGGCCGAGCCAAGCCGAATTCATGATGGGCCTGGGAAAAAAGACCCTTCTCATGCCCACGGGGTGGGGAGAAAGACTTTCAATATTGCTAACTATAAAATGAACACGATTGAGAGAGATTATAATTGAAGTTGACGATTATTCCTGCAGAGTTTATGGTAAAGATTGAGAGGATTGAATCGGTGTATGTTTACAATAGAAGTATGATTTGAGATGTGTTAAGAAAATGAAGTGGATATTGAAGAAAGTTAATTTGTCCGAGCAGGGACTATGACGTGTAGTGAACAATGTGGTAGTATGAAAATGTGTTAATGGATTCACGGACATTACGATATATGGAAGTAAGCTTGTACCACTGGAGAAGATTGGGTATGAAGACGATTAGGACATTAGAGAACACTGTGAGAAAGATACCCAAGATGAATAAAAAGTTACACGTAGTTTTAGTTAATAATGTGAAAAAAAGGGAAGAGTGGATTGATTGATTGAATTAAACGTCGAATATATTGGCGATCTGCCAAGAGCAAAATTCATCCGGATAACTTTTATAAGAAATTGGCCCGATTAGACGTGAAGAAAACCGGAAAAACCACGCAACAGTCCGTTGGCGAGGCACGAACCAATGTTCAATTGTTTTATCCACTTGCCCCTGGCGATCGGGAAAGGTAGATGTGCGAAAGAGGTGAAGTGAAGGGACAAAATTCGTAAATGTAACAATGATATTAAGGATAATGACCTAATAGTAACTAAGATTGACAAGTCGATGATGTCTGTAGTGTTAGTTACGCAACTCGTTGCTAGATTTTATCATAAACACATGGAATTTCTTAATAATTTTCATATTTGTTTTAATTACAGTAAAGTGTCGAAAATTCGGATTCGGCTGTCATCACAAATCGATTATTGATGCTAATGTCTGAAATTCCATTTAATTCATGCAAGTTGTGATTACTAGAGCCCCTTCGGCCGCCAATTTAAAGTCTTTTAATCCTTAAAATTGGCGTTTCCGCTTCCCGGGACGAAGACCCAAGGGCTAGATTGTGGGAAGCGAATGTTCGGGTTGTTTCATTTTGTCTAATTACAGAGAGTTTGACATGTGTACAGCGTTTGACATGTGAGTGCGAGAATTCGAGTAAAGGTTAAACGGTGTATTGTACTGTACATCTTCGTGTACAGTGATATGGTGTGTATGATCCAAGTACATCTTTCGGCATGTCTAAAAACAGAGAAATAGTAAATTACGATACGAGAATAAGATGTGTAGAAAAAGAAAACGAAAGAGATCGTACCATCGGAGATTTCGGAAAATATTCACTTCTATGGTAAACTGCCGCTTCATCCTCTTCGTGGTAAAGTTGGGAGGGAGATTCTTCTCCCTCCCTCCCAACTTTACCACGAAGAGGATGAATGAACTTCTCGCTTTCCAGTTTTTGTGTTTTCTAGGAACATTTGGGAGATTCTTCTCCCTCCCTCCCAACTTTACCACGAAGAGGATGAATGAACTTCTCGCTTTCCAGTTTTTGTGTTTTCTAGGAACATTTGGGAGATTCTTCTCCCTCCCAAATGTTCCTAGAAAACACAAAAACTGGAAAGCGAGTTCATTCATTATCTAAGGTCAACATTATTACCTTTATCAGACAGAATTAGTATGATCTGTCTTTCTTCCCGAACAGTGTTAGGTCAGGTCCTTCGCTCCTCTCATATCTAACCTAACGGAAAGCTCAATCCTCATAACAGCTGTTTGGGAAGAAAGGTCGACCGAATGTCACGTCCGGTGAGTAAACTGGATAAAGTTAATACTTAAAAAAACCGAAAAACTTTTATAATCCGACATTTAATTTTGGATAAATCTCTCTCGATCAGTTTAAGCCTGTCTTCAGAAATTTTGATGATCAGAGTATCTTTACAGATAATGCAATAAATCATGAAATAACAACATATCACGTCTTAAGTACTGAATTATTATACTCATTTCCAGAATATTTTTAACCAGAGAACTTTCCAACTGTAGGTAAGCAATCATTCGTAAAATGACGAATGGCGTTATTTCGGTATTCGAACGCAAATTCTGGAAAACGTCGCTCGGAACTCGACCGAACAAACGCGACCCGCTAGAAGAAATCTTCGATTAATAACACATTTTTATTTCGTCATCCATAAAAATTTATTACGATAAATATATATAAAAAAACATGAAGATGTTGCTGATTGACTGTTAGTTAATTACTGATTGGAAATAAATTATCAATTGCTTTAATATTTCTCTTAATAACGAGAGAGGTTCCATAAGGTAACAAAAGTATACTACTATATGCTTTACTTTAGTCCTTTATTTCGTATAGCACGAATTCGCATAACACGGCAATTATTTTGGAACCTAACTATTCTGTTATACGAAGGATACCTGTATTCATTTTATTTGGCTACTTATTTATATAACGTACTTGTTTTTACTACATTTATTAATGCAATTTTTAAAAAAAATTATGATTAAATTCATTTTAGAGATAAAAATATTTTTAGAACATGCATTAAATAAATATTTTGCGTAAGAAATATCCGCTTAATGTCTCAGATATTATAATTAACACTAAAAATAGATATAAAATAGTTTGCATAAATTAATTTGGTCATTGCTCTTAGTAGTTCTGTAACATTATTAAATTTACAAATAAGAATGTGCTTAAATTCAGGTTTAAATAAGTTATTTCTGAGCCGTAACTGTTACTATAGTTATGGGCTAAAATATCCACTTATGTAAAGACTATATTTTATTTAAAATGATATTTTCTTGACGTAAATACGACAGATTATACAGAAGTAAGCCTACTAACAATTCTGTGAGATTTCGAGCGTGCGGTCCCATACATTCGAAATCTTGATCGTGAAATGTTACATGTTTTAGATGTTTTTATAACAAATGCCTCCGCTGAGAAGCGAAAATAAACGTTTCGTTTCATTCCTTCCTTTTTTCGAAAACTGCCACATCCTTGCCCGCACCAGTTGTGTCGCAACGATAGAGACAGATAGGAAAATAAAGCGTCAGGCGCATGTAACATACTTCCTTGCTTTACTAATGGTATTAGTAAAGTTTCGACATATGTTTGAGTCACTACTCCAACGTATGTTGGGGCAACCGAAAGAAATTTCAGCAAGCGTATTGCAGAACACCGAAAAGATGTGCAATACCAAAGAAGGACTACAGCTCTAAAGAAGAAAGAAACAGTCTTGACTTCAGATGGGAATTACAAACCGAAACGGGATGAAATCGCCTAATTTTATTCTTAATTTATTGTAAATAAAAACATCCAAGGTGAACGAGATTTTATAAGACGACTGATTATAATTTAGGTAACTTGGTGTATAGTTCCTTGCCGTACATAGTTTATAACCGCCTTCAAACTTATCCTCTTGAACAACGATACACTTTTCCCTGCAGCTTCCAGAAGCATTGATGTATACCATCTTTTGCAATTACCCGTAATGCCTCCTGTGTGTTGTTTGCACTTCATTTAATGACTCACTCGAGCCGTTTTAACGTCATTTTATGTAATTCTTTGCTGGAATTTTTAAAATACTGTATATGTCAACAAATGAACAAAGTTCAGATTTCTTAAAAAGAAATGTTTTCTCTTGAAGGTTATTCTAAGTTTTTTTTTTCTTTTTGTAAGCAGTCTACTTTTGATTTTTATTCAATGTATATTAGCTGTGTGTAATACTTGTTGTTTGAATTAATCGTATGACATTGATGCTGTAACGGATTAAATAAATAGGATGTTTGTTCACACAACGAAGGATGTTTGTTCTGAAAACATAATAAATTAGAAGCCAAATTCACTTTAGTGATTGTATTTTTAAATGTTAAATTTGCAAATGTACAAACTTGTACGTTTTTGAGATATTTTGTAAGCCGTTTGAAGAAATATAAAACGACTAAGATTTACTTTTCTACACATTGGAATAAATAATAATTAATAATAAATAAAAATAATAATAATTTCTAGAGAGAATGCCTTCCGGGAAATCTTTTAAGGAAACTGGCCTCTATTTGGGTGTTTCAAAAGTGAAGAAAACCCGGAAAACTCTACGTGGTCAGCCCGTTGGAAGGTCGTGGGTTCACACCTCGCCAACGGGCTGGCCACATTCCAGGGAGTGATTAAAACCATTTCATCAGTTTTCGGTGATTTTATTCACTCGGTCACTGCTGAGCATAAATAACTTAAATATTTTAAAAACGCTTATTTAAACAGTTTAAATTAAAAGTTAAATGGGATATTCTTAGATCAATGAACTGTACAGAATATTACACCTGACGGAAAGTAATGTGTTTATTGATAGAAAATTGGTTTTTTTCAGTAATAAATAGAAATTTTAAGTATTTAACTATTAATAGAATAAGAAATTGAAAATTCGTGATCAAAATCAATCTATTGCCAAGTTCTTTGTGTGTACAGAGACAGCAAATACTTCAAAGCGACTCAAATTACCGACTACACCAAAAAACCCTTCTATTATTTCTTTACGTAATAGCGATTTTTATTATATAAAAATTTTTTATTATTTTCTTATTAATTGTGTCATCGGTCTATCACCATTTTCATGTCAAGAAGTACAAAAAAATATTTATTTCAAATTTTTCGTCAATACTGTAATAATCAACATACATATTTATGAACAATAATAATATACAAAGAATTTTAAATAAAATTGCTGCAGAATTACAGCTTCAATTTAATTCTGTTTAACTGGAAGCAGATTTTACAGTAAGACTCAACATGTGAATAAAGTGCACATTACACACAGACTACAACTATATGAAATTTTGAATGAAGCAATGTCGCCATGATAATAAATAGGAAAAATAAACATCGGCACGAAAAAACTTCCAGCTGTACTTTGTGCCTTAAAATGGTTGCACAATTTGGCTGAACGTTAGAATATCTTAAACAGTATCAATTAAAGAAGTTTGGGGCAATGGGATTACAGTATGAGTTACTAAGGGGAGTTGAAATCAGGGGAGGGGGTGGGATGTCCTGGTAAATATCGCGTTTATAGACAAATTGGTTTGATTTATGTGGTTACGGCAACGCGACACGTGAGCGATCTGCCAAAGAGGTTGCATCCCGGAAAGACTTTTATGTAAAACTCGCCCCAATTTAAGTGTTACTAACGCGAAGAATACCCAGAAAACTCTATATGGCCGGTCCGTTGGCCATGGGCGAACCCACGACCGACTATCAATGTTCGGTGGTTCTATCCACTCGGTTACTGGAGGGTGCTCACTGCCGTCAATCCGTCTCTGTCCTTCCTTAATCTCGAGAATGGAGTTAGATGAAAGTCGAGACCATACATGGAAGTCGTAAAAGAAAGAGGACCAGATTAACTATATATTAACTTCCGATTTGTACCGCGAGTCACGTTATTTCAATTAAAAAATTTTCCGCAGAACGGAGTTAGATACGACTCTATTGCTAACGGGAAAAATATGATGTAAGGGGCCAGGGCCTAATTTGGCACTAGGCAGGCAAGGCACTTGCACGGGGCTCGTAATAGGTTCTAAACGTGCCATTGTTTTATTAGTATTGCGAATTACTATATTATTAGCGCCATATTCAAGGGATAATAATTAAGAATAACATTACCTACTACTTCGACATCTAACAACATCACTGAGAATTAGATAAAGTTTGTATATGCGCATTAGATCTGTTCGGTGAAGTTCAGAATAAAGCGTGTGTTGTTGAGAAAAATATGATGTTTATTACTGCATAATTTTATTGTAGCCCCAAAAATACAATGTAAGTAAGATATTCAAATGTAAAAATAAAAATACTTTAATTTTAAATATTACAATTTTATTTATATTTGTAATAATACAAAATTTGTAAAGGGGCCCGTAAATATTATTTTACCTACAGCCCGCGAAGGTCTAAATTAGTCACTGTAAGGGGAAAACACTACTACACTACACGCAGACAAGTGCTATCTGTTGCAGAAATGGCGTAATGGAGCGTCTACTTCGCGCTATATCATTGTCGCAGTAATTCGGTAAATATAATATATATTTTTTTAAATTATATCCTTTTTTGTAAGAATTATATTTAGTTAATTATTTTGTTAAAATTTTTCCAATAGATGGTGCTACATGTAAAGCCCGCAATAAAATGTAGACAGAAATTAACCGATATATAGAAATCTGATCGATAATTTGGGGTAGAATATACGACATGATCTAAGATAAAAGTATTTGAGCGTAACTGCCGAGTTTCGTAGCAATTGGTCGAACGGCATAGGCGTGCATAGTGAACGAACAAACAAACATCCTCATTTATGTATTCCAAAATTTAAAAAAAATCCCCAATTCTCAATATTAACATTTTTTGGTATTTTAACTTTGTGTTAATGTTTCTTTAGTATTTTTTAAACAAGTATTTTTCACCGGGAAAGTTACGCAACTCGTTGCTGGATTTTTATTATAAAAAAAAAGTATAAATAACTTTCGCCTATTGTAAATAATATACTATACATTATTATTTCTTTCAATACAATCAATCTTGAAATAAAAAGTAATCACTTTTAATTAATAACCTTTTCAAATATATATATATACAGTATTTATATTAACTGGGAATAAAATGTTTTTAAATATTTCAATAGTTTATATATTACAAAAGCGATGAAACGAATTGAAATTATCGAGAAATTTACAAAAGCAAAGGTTATTTAATAATTCTACAAACAAGCTTTACCCGAAGGCTTCCAATTAAAAGTTGCTTTTCCTTATGCTAAATTTATGATTAGCATTTTTCTTTTATCGAGATTAAACGTATCTTGAATTTAAAATCAATACTTTCGCTTATAAATATGAGTTATAATTGAGACAGGTAGACAGATTAACAATTACAAACATCATGAAAACTCACCTCTGTCTAGTTTCTCTTGCATTAGCCACTGCTACAATAGACTGTACACATGTATTATTATTACAAGGCCATAAATTAAGACAGCGCAGTTTGACTGACGAAATCACTAAACGAGCTTGTCGTAAGTTTGTTCGTATATATATATGTTTATTTATTTATTTTAATTTAATTATAAATATATCCTGTATTATCTTGAACATCTTATTTTATATTACGTGTATTGTGCTCAAATTCAGGTGCCAATATTGAAGAATTCATTCGATGCAAAGTAGAAAATGGTCTTCAAGACGTAAGTTTGTTAATTTTAAGTTACTGTGAACCTCGTATAATGCGGGGGATAATGTGTTGTGTGAAATGTGAGACTTCGTAACACGCACTTCGTATAACACAATTTCTGATAATGCGGAACGTATCCCCGTGTTGTACAAGAGTTTACTGTATTTATTCGATGAAAAAAACTTCGTGTAAACTAATTTAAATATGTATTCTTTTAGGTTGTAGTTCTCTTTCGGAACTGTCTTCAACAAGTGCGATTTTATCAAACTTATCATCAATTAATTAACTTTCTTTGTAAAACTAGAACACAACAGGTAAATATGCATGGCTTTGATGCACTAAATAAAAAAATAGCAATTTTTTAAGTTTAACTTAAATTTTACTCGAAGGAATATGAAAAGTTTTTGAATTGCATGGATGACGCTTTGGAGACCGAAATTCGAAATAATCCAAAAGTTTTGCCTGTTGTTGAGGTAAGAAAAACTTTGTAATTTTGTTATTTAATACTAAAAATAATTCAATTATCTGATCGTTACTTAACGGATGAATTTTTATTTTCCTTTTTTATACTTTTCTCTGTTATATATAACAGAAGGAAAGTATGGCAATCGGTCAAACAAATGACACCCAAGATTTTTATATTTTTGGATTCGGGGGACCTTGAAACGTCAAGAAATTTGGGGTTTTTTCTGGATGTATGGATGTTAGTGTGTGGAGGGGAGCGTGATTTTGTTCACCCACTTTGAATCTTAATAACTCCCGTGCTTTTTATCGAAAATTTCTGAAATTTTACAGGGAAGTTTGTGTATTGGGGGCATTTGATGCTATTAAATTTTGGTGGTTAAAGATCAAAGGATAGGGAGATGGAGTGGGGTCAAACTGAAGATTTCACTTGTTATTAGCATTTACAATTTGAAAGTCATCTCTACCCTCAAAATTAAGGATTTTGCCATTTTGTAATAATTAATAATATAAAAAGTTTTAATAAAATCTCATTAAACATGGCTCCACAGAAAATTTTAATTTTGTGCTGTCTTTGTTTTTTGCCTGGAAAGTTACGCAACTCGTTGCTGGATTTTTTTTTACCAGTTGACTAAATTTTTTTTTTTTACCATTTTACCAAACAGTTTTTTTACCATTGACTAAATTCTAATTAGTCAATTTATGTACATACGAAGATTTAAAGGTAATGGAAGTAATTATTAGGGATGAAAACAAAGAAAGCCAGGAAAGTCCAATAACAATGTTGCTAACTTTTTAAAAGACGTACTGCTTATTACTTCAAAATAAATTTTTTCGATAACTGATTTTGTTTTCTAACATCTTGTATATAATCTTTTACTTAAGTTTAAAAATAAATTGATATTTTAAAACAATGAAAACAATATTTATTTGTTTTTCATATTACCAATGAATAACAAAAACCTTTTTATAATTCTAGCAATGTTTGAGAAAAGAAGAAAATAATAATAGCAAACTAGAACACCCGACTTATGAAAAATATATAATTTAAAACTTGTTTATAATGATTTTTAATATTTAAATAAATTTTAATTGTTTTATACAAAATGGCTAAATTTATTTATTTTCTTGATAAACTCAAGTAAAGTACTGTACGTTTATGATGTTTGTTTCACACGAATATAAGAACAAAGAAGTGTGAGAAGCCGGGGGTAGAGTCAATCTCTAAACTTTAATAGAAAAATAAAGCATAAAATACAATATACAAGCGAAGGATACAATTGTAGATATGCGTTACTACGCTAGAGATCAATAACCTAGACCAGTGTTTTTCGACCTTCTTGAATACGCGACCCCTTTACAAGTTAAAAAATTCTGGCGACCCCCTAGGGCCATATTAAAACTATATCAGTGATTTTAAAAACTATGTATTTAATTTTCTTTCTGTTGAGACAAATTATTGTTGATTAAAATGAAAATTTCGGAAGAATCGATAATAATTTAACACACATAAAGTATGAAACTTTCTTTAATTATAACATTAGGCACAGGCAACTGTTGGCTTTTTTTTTCTTAGGATCTGAATTTTCAGCTTGTATCAATACTTTTCTACTTTTTATTTCTTTTTGCAAATCAGCTCAACACTTCTTCCGCTATCATTTTCTGGGGTGGGCCGTAATTCTTGCTGAAATTGTNAGTAATAGCGAAGTAAGTAAGAGCCAATGTTTTGCCGAAGTTCGTTTAGAGAACGGTCAGAAATAGACGATCGTCATCTTTGCAATGCATTTTAAACTGCGGTTCAGCCAGCCAACGGCTATAGGCCGTTCGTTGATAAACGTCGTTTAATGTAAACTCTGTCTCTGCAATCGGCCGTATGCGTTTGTAATTATTAGTGGCCCTAACTCGAATGCTAAACGATAGAGAGAGAGAGTTTACATCTATATGATCTTATTGGAATAGTGGCCGTTGATTCGGCGCCAAGTTATTCGGGTCGACACTTATACCAATCACTTCAAAAATATAGGTATTCCTTTGGGATTATAATTATGGCGGGACGGAAGTCGACGAGTATGCTCTTCCTACTATGTCCGCCCCGACTAATAGGTGTCTGGCTGTTATATGTGTATTCAGTGTGGGAATTGATTAGGTGACCGTTAGTTTGGTAGCGTTGACAAGGTTGGTTGTTAGCGATTGTTTATAGATTTCCTCCTTAGACTAACAAGTAAGTGTGAACTTTCTCACATTTGACAGTCGACCGTTATAACATATTTGCGCTAATTTCGCGGGTTGATGTGACTAGTTGACAGTTACGTTAATATTTGATATTCTGCCGTTCGTACTCCGTGGGAACCGGACGGCAAAAGGGGACGGTTTCTAAAAACTTCTTTTTTCGTTAAAAATTTATGTAAAAACAGCCCCCTGGATTTTCATAGAAGTAAATACAATGACGTAGAGTGATTCACGATACACAAAAGACCGACTACTAATTCTTACCCTGACAGTGATGCCAACTTAGGGGTTCCCCTAAATTAGGAAGAAATGAGCGGAATGGAGAAATTTAGGAGGAGAAATAGTTTAGAAGGAAAATGTAAAGTCTACCCATGTTTAATGGAGTTTCAGTGACGAGTAGGAGCTTTCGAGCACATTACTCGTGACTAGAGTGCCTAGATTATGAAGGTACTCTAGATAGCATTAACGTAAGAGCAACCTTCCATCGGAGAGAAATAGAACAGTAGGAGTAACTTAGTAACGATCCCTATTGACGTTATATGTTCCCGTGATGTTCCAGATTAAAATCTTGCGCAAAAATTTAGAAATGAAATAAAGAAAAGTCGGAATTTCCGGAGAGATCTCTTTTCCAATATGGCAACCGACAAGAGGTTGTAATTTTTCATTTTCTATTATAAATTAAGTTTGAAGAGACAAATGTATTATGTGTTACGTGAAAATTTTCATCTGAAAGTATTAAATCATAAATTAATACTACAAATATCCAATATTTCTGTAATTTTTAAATATTTTCCATTTTTCTTGCCTTTAAATAAGATGTTTTTTTAAAAATAATCCTAATATAAGCCATGTTAATTAAAATTGAAATCACACTTGATTTAAACTTGCTTTTTAAAAATTTTCTATAAAAGACGTTCCAATATAAAAACAAGAAAGAGAAAAATAGCAGAAAATACACTGCATACGTCTTACCGAATAAGGAACACGAAGAAACAAGCAAATTACAGCGCGGAATAAATATGCAAATTATTTTTATTTATTATATTCGATTATTTTATTTAAAATTTCTATCTTGTTGTAACAAAATGCTAAATAGATTTTTATAAATTGGCAAAATTATGAAAGGAAAGCTTACTCATTTAAGCATTTTATCCCAAAAATAGGAAAGACAGGAATTTGGAAATACTGCATTATACAAATAAAAATGTTTGTGTTTTTCAAGAGATAATTAAAAAAATTTAAAACCTCTGAATGTTTAGGTAATACAGTAGAGCCTCGATTATCCGACCCAATTGGGGACTGGGGTTGGTCGGATAACCGAAAAGTATGAAAAAATCCATTATTAGTGTAGTATATTATTATATCCCATGTAATTAGTACATCGCTATTAACCTACTTCGCGTTGAATTTTCATCGATGTTAAGCCTAACAAAAATTTTTTAAAATAATAATCGTCGCTATTGTATCGTTAAAAATTAGAAAATTAAGCCTCATTTAAATACTGGTTCCCTTTCATGGTCGAATGAGTGTTGCCAGCTAAAACGCGTAAAAATAATATTAAAGTAGCCAGACATAGCCAAATATTGTAGCGCCACATCACTAGCGGACATTTGAAATTTGCCGACTAGGACGGTCGGTTAACCGAGGTGGCGGTTAATCGGGGGTCGGATAATCGAGGCTCTACTGTACTACTATTTATTAATTTTGGTAATATATGAAAATTTTACAGAAAGTTACTTTGTTTAAAGCTACAATGAGTTGTTTGCAGTCAAATTATTATAATAAATTTATATATTATATTTATAATAAATTTAAAATATACAGTGAGTGATCGGTTAACGAACAGTTCGGATAGCGAACAAATCGGATAACGAACACTTTCACGAAAGATTTTTATGATCGGACAACGAACACATGTTCGGATAACGAACACTTTACTGAACAAACATAACAAGAAGCTACGGAAAATAACGAATACCGATTGATTTTCCCTTGTCTTCAGGTAACAATTCGAAACATTTCGAAGCGCGGGAGATGTCAACATCGACGCTCAACCCGATACCGATCGGATAGTTTCCTTCGAATTTTGAAATTCTCCCTTGTAATTCCAGCTTTTTGTTTACCTTTCTGATAGATAATTTTTTATAGTCTTCGCGAGACTGTCGGACGGGCATTTGTTAAGTTTTGCGTCGGGGTTTATTTACGAAAGGTGAAAGTTTAACTGTCCCATCGGATATTCGTTAACGTTTTAATACCAAATTTCGAATTTCATCCAGGCCTTGCATTTAAATAAAGTTTTGTGGGTTAGTTGATTTCTGTTCTCTGAATTTTTGTAAGTGCCTTTCTGAACTTCATAATATTATCAGTTTCTTTTTTAAATATAGAGCCTAAAAAAACGAGCGTCAAAACCTGCGCTCACCGTAGAAACCATATAAAAGATAATAGCCAAGGTAGAAAGTGGGCACAAGATGTCTGATGTTGCTAGATAGTATGGCTTGAACAGGTCTACAGTAGGCACAATCTTAGCTATGAAAAATATATCAAGAAGTCTCAAGCTGCTAATGGAGTAATGAAAATCACATCTGAGAAATAAAGAACATTTTAGAGTTCATAATGGAACCTGAAACTGATCTGACGACAGAACTCCAAGAACTCTCAAATGAAAAATACCAAGAAACTCAGTGAGATGTGTTTTCTTTTGAAAAAGAGGAAGACGAAAGAGGACCAATGTTGACATCTACTACTAAAGATCTTTTGAAGAAGAAGGAGGATGTCAGAACAACAATCATCCAAGTGGCATCCAAACCAGAGTAAGGTTAATGGGGTTGGGGATCTCTACAATTACAATACTATTAATTACTTCCGAAAAATCTTGAAGAAAAGAGAAAAGCAATCGACATTGGATAGATTCTTTAACCCCACAAATGGAAAAAACATAACTAATAAAAATGCAAGACTGCATATATATGTATTTTTACCAGGGCTGTGGAGTCGCGTAAAAATCTACCGACTCCGACTCCGACTTTTCCTTACCAATCCGACTCCGACTCCGACTCCGGCTAAAACACCAAAACTCCACGACTCCGACTCCGACTCCACAGACCTGGGCCGTGTTCAGTAACGCAGAACAACTAAGAATTCTGAGTGGCTTAGTGGGCGGAGCTAAGAATTCTGAGTGGCTTAGTGGGCGGAGCTAAGAATGTTCTGACAAGTGAGCATTATTAAACGACTATTCTTTGTTAGACAGCTAGGTAAAATGGCAGACGAAGTGAAAATTATTCTTGCAACAATTGTCGCAAACGAACTAGCCGAAAACGATGAAATAACGAATACAATTATTCAAATGGAAGGTACGTCAGACCTTGACGAAATGAATGAAGCAATTATTAATTTTAATCAAAGAAATGGACTATTATCGTCCGTTAATATGACATAGGTAACATTATCCAATTGTGTTTACTTATTAGTGCAGTCTAAAGATTGGTGACACTTTGAATTTCATAGCAATTGGTTTTTGCGACAAGCACACCTATTTATGGTACATTTATTTATGGCAAAGATATTATTTTCATTTTACCGAGTGCCTAGTAGATAATGTACGGATTACCTAGATACTCTGCACATTATCTAGGTAATTTGAAAAATGGAACAATTTTCACAACTTTAACGGATTACCCTAGTTATTCTGCAGATTAACGACTTTCGAGCTTTAGCGGTAACATATACACTGTATAAAAGAATTATAAAGATGTTTTAATTTCTCAATTTTAATTTGTATTATTATTTTGAAATTTTACATACATAATAATTAATTATTAACATTGTTTTGTGTTTAATATTTGATAAGATATTTATACAAAATTTTTGAAATTAACTGCATTATTCAAATATTTAAAATATGATCATATATGTTGTTTCACTTGCACTTATAAAAAAGTAAGCAATATATATGTAGAACAATTTTTATTTGTTTCCAAGCAAAAATATTTTATTTATTTTAATTTTTCTTCTAATATATTAACTAGTTTTGTTAATATGTCAGTTCTTTTTCTGTTTTCGTTAATATTTTCTTGCAAAAGTTTTGCCATGCGATCCTGATGCTCCGCATCAGCTTTTGCCTTTTTCCTTTGATTGCTCAAGATTTCTTGAGCCCATTCTGGTATCTTTCTTTTTTTCTTTATTTTTTCTTCTGTTTTATTGTTTGATAAACTGTAAACAACAAAGGATGTTATAATAAACATTATAAATAAAATCTTAATTATAAATGATATAAATTGCTCACCTAATTTCAGAAATTGTCTTGTTTTGTTCTTCTGTTTCATTTTCATTGTTTTGTTTTCTATTATCAGAAGAATTTACAAGCTCCGAAACCGGTACTATTGTTCCTGTATTTCCCAATATATCATTTAAAAGGTGAAAGTATGGCCAAGATATTCGACCTCTTCCTGTTGAATTATTGTTATCCATAATTTTTTTATAGGTTACACCTAGGTTACTCCACTTTTTTTGGATGTTTGCCCATGACACATTTAAACCTTTTTTTAAAAAAATATTAGATATATCTTTCCAAACTTCTATTTTTTTTTTGGTTGGTTTCTGGAAATCNCAAGTCTACACCATATCCATTTTTGCTTGGAACAGAACCTTTTGGTGCATAGCTATTAAAAATGTCGAACCACATATTTATATCTCTAATATACGTTTCATTGATAATAATAATTGATTCATAATAAACGTTTCATTGATATTCACATTCAATTCTTTCCATAAACTTATGCTTCTGCAACTACAGTCACTGACGCAAGATACTACATTATACGATAGTAAATAAAGTTCTGCTATTAATTTTAAAAGTATTTCTCTTGTCATTTTTTGATCAAACCCGATGTAAACAGGTTGCTTCCAATTTGAAAAAAGAAGGTTATTATTGCAACCATACACAGCACACCTAGTACTCAGCATTTTGTTCTTCACCTAACATAAAAATATAGCTTTAAATATTTAATGACTTACATTTAAATCATCTTACCTTATAAAAAACTTAGTCAAATAAAACAATTACAGAAATATTAAAATAAATCACTTCGTTAATCACAAAATTGGACGAATATAAAAGCGAAAACTAAACACGTGCACACCCTGCTCTATGTAAACAGAGAGGTCAGGTCTCGTGCTGACTTCACTAACTTGGCATTCCTGGCTAACATTGTAGAATAGGGATCTGGCTATCCTTGTAGTATATAGTCCGTGGGTGGTAGCGAAAGCGAAAGTGATTTGTCCTCCGACAACGAAATAGAGGAAGAAGAGGGATCATCTAGCGAAAACGAAGAGGAAACTGTGAGGTCAGCCGATTTGGTGTGAGGTGTTTTCGACAGCCGAGCGGTTACTTCTGTCGTGTGGGCGCGGAATGACTCACCGAGACAGGTTTACCATATAAAACCGTTTAATAATATACATAAATCGTTCTTACAACAATCTAATGCGGGCAATAGCCTATCCCACGATGGGTTTCTGTCACAGTTCCGAAAAATCGGACAGTTCGATTGTTCGATTGGTCCCTGGGGAGCTTTCGGCACCGTGGACGCAGAGAACGACGGCTCCGGGGCACGCACCAACACTTGTAGTGATGTCCTCGGTTGACAAGTCGAACCTCGGCGATCCTAGAGTGGACGGGTTGGCGAAACCAGTTCCTAGGTCGTCGGAAGAGCCTTCGTTGCGTCTCGGTCGGGGACACCAAATTCCGACAGGTGAGCACTACACACCAAAACCCAAGACTCTGTAAAGTTCCCGAAAACGCGGTTTTATCGATTTTCCCACCGCGGTCGCCTCTCCATTGGTCTCTTTTCGTCACATGGTGACAATTCGAAACTCCAGGAAGGGCGCGGGAGAGGTCAACGTCGCGTCTGAACACGACTCCTCTCCAACCTCGTTTTCTTCGACTTTATCTATTGTTTAAAATCTTTTAACAAGACAAAAGGTTCATTGTTTAAATCCGATCTTTAAGTTCGCTCTTTCGCACTACGAAACTTGACTCATTTAAAAAGTCGTTAATGGCCCGCTTTCGGACCCCGTTTGGGTCCTCACAAAACCATCCATTTATCGTTCGGAAGTGAGACATGGATACAAACCGGAGGATCAAGAGAAGTTTTCTCCACTTTCGCAGAAGGTACAAATAAATATTTAATTTCAGACAAGTCAAATAGTTTATGGCCAACCTGGCAGCACTTACCGTGCCCCTAATTTTTAATCTTTTGTCTCCCGGACAGCCAGTCTGACGACGTGCATGGTACTGCTGGCACTTTCTGTACTTGAGCGCATAATAAATTTGTTTTACCAGTTAAAATCTGTATTCATTTGATCGAGACCCCAAAGTGGTGAGCTGGACGTGATCACAAGAACTTATTTGCCTAATTCTGTGAGTATTTATATCAGTTATATATTTCCGTCATGAGCAAGAGCGAAGACTCCGTCGAGGTAGCAAATGTATCGGTGAAAATTTCACCTTTTTGGAGAAAACGTTAGAGTATGGTTTACACAGGTAGAATCACAATTCGCTGTCTCTAATATCACAACAGAAGTTACGAAATACCATCATGTACAGGGGCACGGTAAGTGTTGCCAGGTTGGTTACAAGTTTATATACATACATTACCGCTAAAGCTCGAAAGCCGTTAATGTGTACATTACCTAGCTAATCTCCAGATTACCTAAGATGATCTGTGAACGTGCGGAATCAAGAGTTTTCCGCATTTTACCTAGGTAATCTGCACATTAACGGCTTCCATATCGTTAAAGTTCAAAAGTTTGTTTCTCTCATTTCCTTTCCCTACTCCTTCCCTCTTTCCCTCCACTTTTAATTTGGTTTTGCCAACGCAAATTATGATAAATAATTTGCGTTGGCTTTCAGTGCGTCGCATAGCTAATTCTGTTTTAAGAATCATCTCGAGATTATCGAATAATTCAAAGGTATGATGTGTTGACTGTACAAGGCTGTGAAAAACTCATTGAGCCGTTGTCAGATGTGCGAGAAAGTGTGAAAAGTTTGTCCATGCCGAAGAATTGTTTGACATATTGTATTCGACTCATTTGTCAATTGACCACGGTGGAAGAGACAGAATGATCAAGCAATTAAAAACATTTTATAAAAACATAACCCAAGCCTAAATAAAAATGTTTTTGGATTTATGCGAACCTAGTCAACAAAAACAAAAAAGTGCGAAAAAAGGATTTGTTGTAAAGCCGATTATTTCATCGCATTTCAATAGCAGATGCCAGGTGGATCTCATTGATTACAAATCTCAACCAGATGGAAAGTTTAAGTTTCTTCTCATATACTAAGATCACTTAACAAAATTTGTTGTATTAAAGCCGCTTACATCAAAACGGGTGGATGAAGTAGCCTATAACTTGCTGGATATTTTTCTCCTTTTTGGCATTCAAAATATTTTGCATTCTGATAACGGACGTGAATTTTGTAATAAAATCTTAGAATGTGTAACACAGTTGTGGCCAGAAATCAGAAGTTAATGACAAACCTAGACACAGCCAAAGTCAAGTAAGTGTAGAACGAGCGAATCAAGATATTGAAAACATGCTAACTACTCGGATGACTGATAGCCAAACTAACAAGTGAAGTGAGGGCGTACGATTTGTACAATTCACGAAGAATCTGCCTATCATTCTGCAATTAAAAGAAGTCCATACGAAGCCATGTTTGGTTGTTCCACAAAAGTGGGATTGCCTTCATCTATTATACCACAAAGTGTATTACATTCGATAAATACTGAAGAAGACCTTGAAAAATTAGAAAATTCACAAGAGACTGTGATTATGGGATCACAGTCAAATCTTACTCAATATGACATTCCTTTTCTTCCCTGCTTCTACAGAATCACCTATAGAAATACAAGAATTTATCGATAGTAATCTTAAACTGCCTTCTACACCGTTGATTGAGGAATATTCAGTTACCCTGTACCTCCAAGGAATCATCTCTGCAAGTTGAAGAAGTCATCACTGAGTTACCCTCAACTTCAGCAGAATTGCCATCACAGTTTCGTACAGAGCCTGTAAAGAGCACTATACAAGACATAGTCTGTATTGTTTGCTCAAAAGCAGCATCAAGTGCTCACAAGTGTAAATCGTGTGATATGTTTGTTCACGTAGTTTGTGGTGAAGTAGATCCTAAAGAGTAAGGATATGGTAAGAATGTATTGTGCAACATCTGTGAAAAGAATATGGATCAGAAAATACAGCGTGATGAAGCCAAGAAATGTTTAGAAAAACAAGCAAAGAAAATGTTAGCAGTTTCTAATGCAAAGCACCCAAATGTCGATGAAGGTGTCACTGTGAGAATTAAAGTACCCAAAGAAGACAGAGCAAAAACTAATACACGCTCAATTTTAGCTGTGGTTCTTAGTAAAACAGAGGATGGCATTTATAAACTTGGTATTAAAACGGGTATCTTAAAACAATTGTATGCAAAATCTTAATTTAGTGTTTGCAAAGAGAGATTTTTAACGAAAGAAGATGTCCCTGCTGTAGAAATATCTTTACGTCAAACAGCAATAAAACAATCCCTTGGTATTGGGCAGGGTTTCAGAAAATGTGACTGCAAATCTAAATGTACCACAAATAGGTGTGCTTGTCACAAAAACCAATTGCTATGTAATTCAAAGTGTCACCAATCTTTAGATTGCACTAATAAGTAAGTACAATTTTATCATATGTTTTGCAAATTCATTTCCCTAATTGTAAAAATATTTTCAACCTTTTGATTTTTGTATTACAGTTTTTTAATTGATTGATGATTGATTCTATCAACTAATTTGTTGATTGTTTGATTCTATTAACTTCATTCTTTATATATCGAAAATTAAATAAATAACATTATGTTAATTTAAGTGTACAGAAACGTTGCTGTTGTTCCAGCAAAGACCTTATTTTCACTTTACCGATTACCTACATTTACTCTGCACATTACCTAGGTAATTTGAGAAATGGAACAATTTTCGCAGCTTTAAAGGATCACCCTAGTTAATCTGCAGATTAGCTAGGTAATGTACACATTAACGGCTTTTGAGCTTTAGCGGTAACATATATACTGTTTATCACCACTTAGCACAAAAAGTGATGATATAAAGTTAAATATATTTTAAATATGGTATTATAGAATGATATCATAATTTTAGGAGATTGCACGTTGATTTCGTGTAACGGCACTCCAGATATTTGAATATTTTTTTCAAATATTTAAAATATCTGGAGTGCTGTTGGCTTACAAAACATATCACTGATCAAACAAATTTTGTTCGCGGAGGAATCTATTCGAGAGAAAAGATCTCTTATGAAACGTAGAAGCAGAGATCAGGTATACATCAAATATAGAGAATTTATATAATTAAGAAATTAGTAACTTACTAGAGAGGTTGAGGCAGACGTTTTAAACGTGTAAACGTGTACGTGTAGCGTTCGGTGCCGCTTTCCCGTAAGCCTAAAAGTTTGACGATGGTGTTTGGAATGTCGAGCGTGATTCCACCGACTATCCAAACACCATTGTCAAACTTTTAGGCTTACGGGAAAGCGGCGCCGAACGTCACACGTACACGTTTACGTTTAAAACGTCTGCCTCAACCTCTCTACTGTATATTGTTTTTCAGGATTGGAAAGAAACCAACGCAGGGTTTCTTTTCAGTTTTATAGGGGATACTACAGAAACCGACGAATTCATCATTTTTTTGCAGACATCGAATACTACAAACGCCCGTTTTTCAATGTATGACGGAAAATCGATTTTACTTAGAAAATATTTACATTTTAATGACAATAAACTGTTTGACCCAGCAACAAACAAACGACTTTTTAAAATAAAACTTATTTTTGACTATTTACTTAAAAAATGGTAGTCAGCATATACTCCCGCTACAAACAAGTATTGACGAAAGCTTGTTGTTTTGGAAAGGAAGACTACAGTGGAAAGTTTACATCATCTAAAAAGAGCCCATTTTGGCATGGAATCATTCCAACTACGCCAATTTTCGTCAGGTTATGTCTACAATATGATAATGTACTGTACAGTACACAGGAAGCGACACAGATATAAAAAAACAGCGTCTAGGGATCAGATATATCAACTCTCAACAAATCAATAAAAATAGTATTGTATTTGATGGATAAATTATTGAATAAGGGCCATAGATTATTTGTAGATAACTATTATAGCTCCCCTTTAATAGATTTTAAAACAGATGCGGTCGGCACCATAAGAAAAAAACACGAAGCTGACAAAAGAAATAAAAAATAAAAAAAATGAAGACAGGAGAATTTCTAGCGTTTTACAGAAAAAAGTTGATGGCATTGAAATGGTAAGATAAGAAAAAACTATGCATGCTATCAACTGTTCATGATGCTGAAGTGATCCTAGTACCGACCAGAAAGTAAGTCTATTCTTATATTCAGAAAGTAATTTTAAATTAGCTTAGTTTTAAAATCTATTTATTTTTGAATTGTAAGATGGAGAAGAAAAATTGAAACCACTTGTCTGTGTAGAGTATAGTAAAGAAATGGGGGGAGTAGATTTAGTCCACTGCATCACGACAAACTTCATTGTGAGGATTCGCCTAAAAAAATATTATCAGAAAATGTTTCGGCACCTACTGGACATAACAATTTTCAATTCCTTTTTCTATATAAAAAGTATGGAGGTAAATATGTTTGCATTTTCAAGTTAATCGCTTTTATGCCTTATATATTGTAATATAATATATAAATGCATACTGAATTATATTTCAATACACATAATTTTACAGGAACGTTCTCTCAACTGAACTTCCGGCTTTAACTTGTGGACCAAATTATAGAGAAGTACTGTACGTCAGTACCTGCAAGAAGACACATTAATAATAAGAATACATTCATGGTAATAGAGCAGGATGCACCGCCACTTACGGAGCTCATTTTGAATGTCCTATAAACATGAGTCCTATTCTCAATAGTTACGAAATAATTCACTGTAAAAAGCGCGTAAACCTGGACTAATTTGGAAGTTGAAAATAACATTTACTTCCAAGTTTTTTTTTTCAAATCTCCACCTTTTGAGACCTCCTGAACCCAAAAGTAAAAAAAAAAAAAAAAGACAAAAAAATTCCGTGGGTATGTGTTTGTGTTGGCGTATATTTCACTTAATATCGCATAAGGGCTGAAGATAATTTGGCACGGTAGCTTGTATATAAGGAGCATTGATGCAATCGTGGTTGTGAAAGGTCAAAGGAATGGAGAGATAGTGTGGTCACGTATTATACCTCGAGAGGGGTCGGACTTAATGACAACATTCTATAAAACCTATAAAACTCATCCCTATCCTCGGAATTAAGCTTTTTGCCATTCGATAATAATTATTTTTTTATAACAAAATTTCTTGACAGATCATAAATAGAATTTTATAACAGCCGGAAAAGTTACGTAACTCGTTGCAGATTTTATAAGCTTTTATTAAATTATATAGACTATAAACTAATATTTTATACAACAGATTTCCGCTTTTACGACTTAACTGGTTCTCGAAAATCATCAAACCCAAATTTACCTTCCGCTCAATATCCTAAATTAAGATTCTATTAAACACTTCACCGAAATATGACAAAAAAAAATTTGTCCTTAAATATAGCATTGTATAAATCATATCAATCGTTAAAAGCGGGAATCTATTAGTGTATATCGAGAGAGAAATAACGAAACAAAGAATATTGTGTAGATGACTTTTATTAATTCCCATTATTTTAAATAGGGGAGATTCATTTATGATTACACACACATTATTTCACAACACTTGTTTTTACCATCGAAAAGAACAGACGAAAGGAATTGATTTAAACACCAGGTACTTCATTACTGCATTTCATGAAAGAACAGACTGACCATTTTCTATACTTATGAGTTTGTTTACAATTATTCCGAAACAGATTTTTAATACTTTCGGTTAATTAATTTTTCACAATAGTCACACCAACACAACATGACATCAACCCGTTTTTTTTTTTTTTTTTGGTATTTTTAATTTTTTTTCTCTGGACAATAAAATCCTTCGTTTTGGACAGAGTTGGAAACTTTCTCACGTTTTAAATTTCTTGTCAGTGAAAGATCAAAATAATATATATTTATATAATTTAAGTTTTAAGCAGGCACGTTGGTGGTGCTTTGCATATTGAAATTCTATAGAACCACCTCTCTAGGACGGTTTGCATTTTTTTTTTTTTTTATAAATAGTAAAAAGTACTTTTACATCTTTTTGCAAAAAATCAAAAGCGCATTTCGTTGTCTATTTAGCACCCTTTATATGTAAAAAAATCAATTTGATCCTTTTTTTCTTTGTTAAATATTTGGAAGATTACGAATTACCAACTCCATACAGAACAAAGAAATGGAAGCATAGAAGAAAATAGTAATGTCAAGTGCTGCTTATTATTATTATCATTATTATTATTATTAATTTTTACGTTTTTTCTAACAAATAAATAACAATCATCGTACACTCTTATGGCCACTCTTACTAGACTTTTTTCATTATGGCACAGTGATTAAATGAACCATCAATATATACACAATAGAATTCTTACATACATCACAATATAATACACAATCTGTGGGACTATCATACTACTTAACAAGACAGGAAACTTTTTTTAAAGAAATAAATAATTTTTAGTGCAAAGAAATATATATATATTTATACATTTGAAAGTTTTAGTTAATTTATTCATTATACTAATAATGAATATTCATTAAATACATTTTAAAAAGTAAAAACTATCCAATAATAAAGAAGAATAAAATTCACAGTTAAATTATTGAACAGTTGCTACTTTTTTTTTCATTTTATCATAAAATAAACCGAAATATTTAATTAGAAAATGCGGTGCGTACAAAAGATTGATTGCATAGCTGACGTTGCTGCCCATAGTTTATCCTGTCAAGAATCTTAATTTTTTTCGTTGAACATAATTGCAAAATACCCGTCTGATAATTACACCTGAAATTTGCAAAATGCTGCATTTATCATATTATAAACTACAACAGATTCACTTGAACTAAAACAAAATCTTGGCAAACGCTATTTGGTGACTATATACAAAAAAAAATATATATATATATTAACAATATATTTTACAGAATGATATTTCTCTGACTTTTTTAACAATATGAACATGAAGGAAAAACAGAACAGAACAAAATATAGAAACCATATTTTTTTTTTGGCAACCAAATATTTTCTAATTAAAATTTTGACCGCATCTATGGCACAGTTTAACTTGTCATTTCACTATTTTAAAATTTTATGACAATCTAACTAAATACACAAAATATATTCAAATAAATATCGGAAAACTCTTCAAAAATTACAAACTTTCTATACATTTAGGAGCTTTTTTTTTATTTTAAACAACTTAACATTTTAGGACTCAATCATTTATTATCATGGTTTAACCAAAATTTGATAAAATAAATGATCAATCACTATAAATGTTTTTGATTTGTTTAAAATAAAAATCAGCATTTAAATAAATGAAATTTTGTAATTTTATTATTAATTTTTCAACAAACTGAAAATATTTTAGTGAACTTCCTATTTTTGATAATGATTTAAGATTACCAATTTCAAGAAACCTTATGCAACAGACACAAATACAAATATAGTATATATGCAGTGCCCAAATATATTTAGGTGGGAATTAATTATTATCTGGATAATTTATCCTATTGTCAACTTTAAAATAAAACTGTTTGATCTAACATAGGAATGCATAATAATATATGAAATTAGTTAGTAATAAAAATAATGCCATTAATTAATGTGATCCTGACGTAACCAAGTGTTTTGGGTTGTTATAAGTTATCTGCTTAATTTTGAATATTCTCATTAAAATTCAATATTTTCTTTTCTTTTTTTTCTTGTAATAGAATTTACAACAAAATGTTTGTTTCCCTATTTTTACATCTTTCTGATGGATGATGAATTTAACTGTACAATATTATATACAGAATGAAGAAACTTAACAATGAAATTTATCACTTTCACACTGACTCACTCATACATGCACACAAATATACATGAACATGTGTGTGACATCCGACGTTGTATTCGTAAAAGCTTCATCATCAAATTGAGAAATAGGAATATTTCCTATAAATTTGACAGTAATCTTAATAAATTTTTTTCTATACATCTATGCATAATTTACAATGGATCAAACTAAGTAAAATCTTACAACTTGATCTCTGTCAATGATAAGTCTTCTTGCATGCTTCTTTTTCTCACAAATGACTGCAGCATGTCGAAAAGACTTCTGTACATTAACAAAATAATAATAATAATATAATAATAATAATATTAATAAAAACAATGGCACGCTATTTAATTGTACAGGGTCTTTTCACGTAGAATTGATGATGCTATACAATCCCTACATGCATAGATGAGTCAGACGTCAATCCAGCAACCCTCTGTGTGGGAAACTGTTTTGTATTGTTGTGTGGTGTTGAAGACACAACAGAGTTTTTGGAAAGCTTAGATAACATTGGACTGTTACCAGAAGTCTGTTCTACTGACAGAAGATCAATAGAAATGTTTTTTGTGTCATCTTGATCAGCTAAAAAAAGCAATTATTTCAAATTTATTTTAGAAAAAACATTTTTGCAATGATAAATAACAGTTCTTTCATTGTTATATTGTAAACTTACCAGATGATGGCCTCGAAGGATGTAGAGAACCCATACTCCAACTGTGATTCGAAGCTGGCGAAGAGGTGTGAGGAAAACCAGAAGTGGCACAATCTCTTTCTAAATTTGCACTCCCACAGAGAGTGTCCAATTTTTCATTGGAGGAATTTTTTGAAGTATCAGCATAGTCATTTCTGGGAAATATTGGTTTCTCATTTCTTTTATTAATGAGATGTTCTGCCGAAAAAGATCGGCTGGGAGAGAAAACAGGCCACCGCGTGACCTCACTTGGTGGAATTACAGGTGCTTTACTTAATTTATCATGAATGTTTTTCAAATCACTAGGATTGCAACAGTAACTATTCTTTTTGGAAGTTTTTGAAGTGTGGTTGTTGTGGAGTAGTGGTGTATGCTGTTGTGGAGTTCCAGCACTACTCTGACCACTTCCTGTAGTGGTGTATGTACTTGGACAGCTCTGACCAATGTCATCCGAAATATCACTCTGAGCTCCCATAATGCTCCCTAAACTGGAACCTATAAGATATTTCAAATAAGTTTCTAGAATATTTTATTTAAAAACAAGATTTTCTAAAATCTAAATGAAATATTATTGTCCTGACATTTAAGCTAATTTTAAAACTATTAATATTTATAACATAAAAGTAAAAGAATTCTTTAAAATGTGCTCTAAAGATGAAGGGAGAGAGACTTATGTGGACATGTTTGTGGCATAACCTTTAAGTAGATGAGCCATTATTAATATTGGGCATCCTGCATTAACAATGACTTTACATCCTGGACATAACTCTCCAGATATACAATGGTCTGTGGGTCTGAAGCTGAATAGATCTCAGATCCATTTGGATCATGACTGACAAAAACTAGTCATCACTAAGATTTGATTCATTTGTCTGTTCAGTAGTAGTAGCACTTTGAACCAATTGCAGAGATGAAATTTTCTCTAATATATAATAAAATTAGTTTCTAAAGAGCCCCCTTAAAAGTTCAAGAGCTTTTCTGTCAATGGCTTCTCTACATGTGAAAGGTATAAGATATTTGTCCTTGACAGGATTTATTTCTTCCTCATTTTCATCACTCATTTCTTGCAGTTGGTTCTTTACTTCAGCAATGATGTTGACATTGACAAAGCTGTCTGTGAATTTTGTCAAGACCAGATATGGAAACCTTTGGGGCAGAAGGCCCTTATTAACTATACATGAACTTCTGTTTCAGGCCAGAAGCCACATTATTTCAATTCAAAAAATTTCCCTGAACAGTATTAGACAGATGACTAGCAAGACTGTTGTTAACAGGAAAAGTGTGATATACAGGGGAGAGACACTACTAAACTTAAGTGCATTGTGACAAAAAATTGCATTCTGGCAGCACGACAATATCACAATAAATAATTGCTTATTTGCCATTTCTGTCTACTTTGAAATGAAAATGATCAATTCACTATCAGCAATGGAAATGTCAACATGCAATCCAAACTTGGATTGTAAAGTGATATTTATACAGTAATTCCAAATAAAGAGATACATGTAGACAAACACATATAGTTGATTGGCCAATAACTCAATAATTTATCAAATCACCAATGTGTTTCACTTTGAAATCCTTTTAAATTTTGAAAGTTTAAAAATAATGATTTTATACAGCTAATATTTTATTGGTATTACTGAATTTGTGTTTAAAAATAATAATGTTACTTTACTGCAAACATCATGAAAATTTTGAATTTTTTGTTGTGCTGAGGCATAATTCTATATAATACCCAAACTTCAACTTTGCCATAATATTTTCCACCTTGAAAATACAAAATTAGATATAAAATAGTTGCTGGATCTTAAATTTTGAATTAGCAAAATATGATCTTAAAACTACTTGTAATTTGACATATAATCATTGCATTTTTTGTTTCTATGGGAGTTAATTTGGAAAAAAATAAAATTTGAGTAAATGATAATTCTGAGTTAAGGAAGTTTGAATTATTGAAAGTCTACTGTAGTATATTCAGATAAAAGTTTTAAAGACTATTCATATTAATTAAATTAAATATGTATTAACATAACTATCTTAAGTAAGTTATAAAATAAAAATAATATGCTATTTGTTTAACATGCATCTTATAGGTTTCCTGTTAAAATAAAATAAAAATATAAAACATAAAAAAGTAATTAAAACAATGATAAAATACAGAAATGAAAAAGAAATAATATTTTAATGCTAAGTAATTAAATTTAAGACATAACACAAAATTATACTCTCTAGACATGTTTCCATTTGGCATCATTAGTTCATAATATCATGCAATAGGTTATAACAAATAAAATTTAATTATTCATTGTTATTGTTTTATGCAACCCAATTCAAATGAGATAGTTGGGTCAAATTTGCAATAATCTTAAAGTCTGATTTGAAATCTGGAAATGATTCATTATTGCAAAATACCAGACTAAAGCCATTATAAATTATAGGTGACCACAATTTCACTCATTACAGATGAGTCAAATCTGTAATGAGGCCATAGCAAGGTAGAGAGATGAGTAACCTAACTATATCCATGATAAATTACAGGAATCTGGATCAAATTCAAATACTTTTCCCTCTGGCAATAGGTTGACATTTACCAAGCAACAATTTGCACAACTTGATTTAAATGATTGTAGCAAATTACAGTAGATATTGTTAATTAAAACACACCTTAACAAACTTCAGCAAAAATTTAATAATCAAAAACATTTTCAATTACTTTGATGGATATACTTCAGTTAGACCATATAAAAAGAATAAACACATTCAAATATCTTAAATTTAATAATCAAAGATAAACATTTTAGATTATTAAATTTTTCCTAAAATTTGTTAAGGTGTATATTTTTAATTGACTTAAAACTCTAGTTGTGGGTATTTTTTTAGATATTATTCTAAATGTTTTCTTTTTTGATGATTTCTATTTTTCAACTTATAATTAAAAATCATATTGTTCAGAAAAATTGAATAAAATCACTTTTTTAAAACATAATAAAAAATCAAAAATTGAATTCACTCCTCGTGTATCCAGAAATCAAAAACTTATATATGAATATAACTGATGATTTCATCAATATTCCCAAAAATTACAAGAACTAATAGGAAAAATCATCATTTAACTGTATTATAGGAAAATGACTTACAATAAAATTTATATTTGAAAAGAATAAATATCTAAATTTAAATTTTTATAACAAAATTTACAAAATAAGTAAGAGAAAAACTTTAAAAGTTGTCATTTTTACCTCTTACTAAATGAGTGAGATGTGTTCTATCATTTAATAAAATGAGACTGTGATGTTTCACACCATCAGAAGGAAGAAGTTCATCATTACTGTGCTTGGCACTATCACCTGTCCCACTATCTTTGCTGGAATGTTCTGAAATAAGAAAAATTTTATGACATCTCATTTCATATCTAGCTAACACAATCCCTTATAAATTTTCATACCAGAATTTGAATCCAAGAACAAATGTGGGACAGATTCTTTATATTCTTCAGTACAAGTAGTAGGATAAGTAGCAAATGGTGCTAATTCACTTGGTATAGCTGCTTCATCAGAATTAGTTGGTGCATATTCCTCAGCACGTTTTCTTGTTTGATATATAATGATTATCCAAACTAGTGACGTACCTACTACACAACACACAACTGCTATAACAATTATACCAGTAGCTGTACTATCATCTTGTGATCCAGATTCTCTGTCAGAATCTATTAAAAATAATTTTTAAAAATTAAATCATATTTTAAAAGGAAATTCAATATAATGGAACAATTATTTTTCTTTAATTACACTGTAAAAAGTTATGAGGGTTATCAAATAAGTATAGAGACTGACTGATTTCTTCTTTTCTTTGGAACTACTGATGGCTAGTTTCATGTATGACAGGGGTGTCCAACCTTTTTGTTTCTTTGGGCCGCATTGGAAGAAGTCAAGGAGTTTTGGGCCACAAGTATATTGAATATATACTTGTGCCCAATATACAAGTATATTAAAGGATTAACATGTCTAGATTATAATAATAAGTATTAAATCTTTATCATAAAAAAGGATATTTTAAAAAATTACTTCTACAGACACTTTCAATTTTTACTTAGAAATAAATTCATTTATTATAAAAGAGACAAACGAAAATTTATTTGAAAAACACAAATATTTGTTTTATTTGGGTCTCTAATTAATAAAAAGCAATGAAACACCATTTTAAAGTGCATTTTTATTCAACTAATAGGCCTATATAAATAATATGTAGCCCAAGAAGTAGCCAAAGCGCCAAATGATATTTTTTATGTCAAACCAAAAAAAGTAGCACATTTGGTGCAAATGTAGCCAAATCTTGCAACGTTGGAAGAAATACTAAATAAAGCTGGAGTTGTGACTCAAAGGATTATAGACCAAATGCGGGGAAAGGAGAGAAAAGACAAACAATAAAAAAAGTGAGAAAGGTTGGAAAATTAAGGGTCAATGTTTGCATAACAGATCTATTTAACCTTTCTCACTACTTTTTATCTTTTGTCCTTTCTCACCTTTCCCACCTTTTCCCAAATTTGGATCTATAATTCTTTGAGTCACAACTCCAGCTTTATTTAGTAATCCTTCCTCATTCACACATCTCCAAGTATTTGAAAATATTTCCTTTCCACTCAAAAACAAAATATGATTAAAGGTTTAAGACTTTGTGAAACTTCTTTTTTGAGTTTATGCCATTGAAATAAATAAATAATAAAAAAATTAAAACATTTGTTGGTTTTGTTTACATGTTTATTGGGCCGAATGCGGGCCGTGGGTTGGACACCCCTGATGTATGACATACATTTCTGCATCTAATGAAAGAAACACAAACTCTTCTGGAAATCAGAAAGAAGGATAACTATAAGTGATGAGCAGCAAGTGATGATAAAATTTCCCACAATGGAAGAAATCAAATCAACAGATATTTACAAATATTCAGTGATGACACCGTGGAATGTTCCTGGCATTTAAATCATGGATGGACAACCCATGGCCTGCGTAAAATATGAATAAATATATCAATTTCCCAGCTTAAGGATGTACGCAGCAAAAAATCAAACATTACTTTCTACAACTTATGTATGTGAATAGTTTTTCCCGCAATGAATTTAATATTAAGAAACCGGCTAACAGACTCACATCAAAACTAATTTAAAACTAGCAGTGACTAATCTTTAACCAAATATTTATGACATATTATGTTTATGTCAGTTCCAGAAGCTAAATTAAGCATACCTATTCTAATTTATAATTATATATGAATAAATAATTGTGATATACCAGCATTTTTTCCCCTTTTCTCTTGTATGCAGCCTGTGTCAGTTCAAAAATTTTGAAATGTGGCCCTTACATAGAAAAAAGTTGCCCATCCCTGATTTAAATGATGCAGTCAATACTATCAAAAATTTATCAGACATGCTGTGCCCAAGTCTTTCATCACTTCAGAGCTGATTTATATTGTGGAGGACAAGATTTTGAGTATTTGCAATGTTGTATATTGTAACATTGCAGGCATAACATAGTGATTGACTCCTCTTGGAAATGAGTATTAGTCATACATTATTATCTCTAAGGAACTATAATTTCAATATCACAAAATTTACTAATGAGAGTTCACAGTTGAATTTTCATACAAATCAGCATCAAGATTTATTATAACACGAAACTGAACGTGCAAAATTCCTGCTCCATATCACTGCAAAAGATTCATTCATCATTACATTCTCAATTCCAGACAAGCCTCAATGTCAAAACTCTTTCCTGCTCATAAAATTCAGAGCATAGTTGATGACAAGTAAAGTAAGGACATTCGTTGTATAGGAACAGAGCTTATGGAATTAATAACCAAAGAATGATTCATCAATAACACCTATTGGAAACCAGAATTTGTAAAGTCATACAAATGTATCATATTGTAATCTGACAATGCCACACCATACTATTGCTAATCTGACCTTGTTTATTATTGCTAAAATTGGTCAAGTGCTTTCTTATTCTATCTATAGTCTTAACTTGGCATCTCATGACTCATTTCTTTAGCATTCAAAGAACATCTTGGTAAAGAGAGAAATTCAAAGACAAGCTCTTTTATTTTGACAGGAATTAACCAAAAATTTGTAACTACTGGTATATATGACAATTGACAAACAAATGGAAAAAAGTGTTTAACATTCTTAGGAGATTGTCAAAAATTAGTATTATCAGTTTGCTAGACGTGCATCCATATTATATAAAATTAATCCAGATACTTATTTGACAACATCTATATTAAACTAGGAAATATGAAATTGTATTTACTATAATTTCTTTTAATAAAACTTTGAATAAAAATTATTCAAATTTAATTATGATCTTACTTGTAAACATTTTATTTTAGCACACAAGTGCTGAAATAAAATGTTTACAAGTAAGTACAACATGCAGGATGAGTTTGAAAGTTACAAATTACATGTTGTTTTATAAATAGCAATAATGTAAACTTAACTATATCTATAAATTTTATATAATGAAATATTTCTATTAATTAATTAATTATATAAAACATTTATTACACAATTAATTAAACATTCACCTGAATAAATAGTCAAGTAAGATGAATCTCTTTCTGTTCCTAGAGTATTAGACATTTCACATGTATATTCACCACTGTCAGAAACTTGACTTTGCACTATTACTAATAATTGATTATCTACTGTAAAAAAATGTCTCTCTGTTGGAATGAGTGGTCCACCATCTTTTAGCCAAGTTAGTTTAGGTTTTGGACTACCAGAAGCAAAACATTCTAAGACAGCTGTTTCTCCTGATTTAGTTTCTTTATCTTTCATTGCTCTAACAAATGATGGGGTTTCTTCAAAAGAAAAATATGTTATGATGACTTTTATTGTGAGTGAAAATTTTAAATATAATTAAAATTATAAAAAACATTAAATTAAATTTATACACAGAAGATAAGTAAATAAAAATATAAGAGTAATCAAAGAAGCAACATAAAATACCTAGTACAGTGAGGGATGCATTGGCCATAACAATTCCAGCATCATTTTTGGCTGTACAAGTATAGACACCCATATCAAATGGTTTTACATCAACAATAAAAAATACATCATCACTTGGCATGACATGCATTCTTCTTTCTCTTGCAGCAGGAAAATCATCTCCACCATCTTTCTGCCAAGCTATTTCAGGTGTTGGAGAACCTTCAGCCGCACATTCTAACCTTGCAACACTGTCAACTTTAACAGTAATGTCTTCAGGTGTTTTAGTAAATGTTGGAAATACTGTAAAAAATAATATTTACATAAAAATTTAAAATTTTATAATCTATAACATATCAAATTTCTTAATATTAATTTCATATCATGAAAATGTCATAAATCTGAAATCTCAGTTTATAGTAAACAGACAAATAACTTATATAAACTATAACTATATTGTATAAAAGCTATAAATAATCTTTTGGAATATTTTTTGAAAATAAAATAATAAATTTTGAAAATAAAACTTAAGTTGATGAACATTCATTTATTAAAGAATTTAATTTGAAAGAAAAACTATTCTTTTTTCATTTATTTATATTATAAAAAGCTTTTATTTCTAACAGATTTATATGATGATAGGAAAAATAAAATAATAAAAATATAAAAGCTGGAAAAAATAGAAATCTAAATATATCCAATAACTAAACTAAATTTATTTAAATATTCTGTTATATTCAACAATTCTTTACATTCTGAACTTAATCAGTTTAAACAAATGTTCACCTGAATGTTCACTTTAACCTAATAAGTCTATGCTAATAAACTAACCAACCATCTATTAATGTATCTATTTTCTAAACTATACACATGATAAGAGTCAAAAATAATCCAAACTTTTAATATAACTTTAATTACATTAATATTAAAATAAGCACCTTTTGTAGCTACATACATCTGCTAGATTACATACTATTTGTCAAAACAGTACTGGAAGTCATTTTTGTGATGTCTTTAAAGACTCTAAGCATAGTGGCTTCCACTTTAATTTTAATCAATCACTCCTGGTCAGCAAAAATCTAACCAAGAAGGACATAACAGTCTTTTTCCAATCTCCTCATGCTCTTAATTTTACCTCTGCAGATTCTTATCTGTTTCTAAAACAAAAAGTTGAAGAGCTATAGAGAGATTCCAATAAACAGCAGAGTGGAAATTGCAACAATGAAAACCACTAAAGACATTACAAAAATGGCTTTCAGAACTGATTTGACAAGTGTATAAATACCGATAGAAGTATATAGGTGCAGAAGGAGCTTATTTTGAAAGTTGTGTGATGTAAAAATTTTTGTGTATTTGTATAATAAAACCTGTGCCAAAAATTTGATTTATTTTGACTCTATTTTTGTATCACAAAATGTTTAAATAATAAAACTTTGTATCTTACAGCTAAACTGATTACAATAAATACTTATAGATATCATAAATATTTGCAATTCAATTAGAACATGCAATTTCATATAATAACATAAAGATAAATGAAAAACTATACCATGAATTGTTATTTGAGCTTTCTGAGAATAAACTGAACCAAACTCATTAGAGATGACACACTGATATTCTCCTTTATCATTGTCATTGATAAAACGTATATGTAATAAACTTGCATAGTCAATAATTGAACCTTTACCAGCAGTGGCAAAATTTTCTACTTCTGCATCTTTTAGTATCTGTAAAATACAAGTATTTTCATTAATAAGAAACAAAATTATTTCTATTCTTGTTTTTTTAGAAAATAAGTAAATAATTTCACATCATATTTTTTGAAACATTTTAATTAATAAGTAAATAGATAAGAAAAATTCCAATAAATTAATATAGTAAATGATTATTACATTTATAAGAATGTATTGAAAAAGTGATAATTCAAGAAAAGTTATTTTAAAAAATTGCCTGTAAGTGCATCAATAATTTGACATACATAATCACTTTAAATAAGATTTAAGTTCTTTTTAATGCAATTTAACATTAAATTAAATCTAAGTATATTTTTTGCAAATACATCTTTGATTTGCTTTAAATTTATTGAAATATTAAATCCAACTAAATACATTTTAATTATTTAAATTTTATGATTTAATTATGAGTTCTGAAGGAATTCAAAATTACAATTTATCTCATATTATTAAACATTAGTCTTTATTGAGTTTTCCGAAGTTATATTTATGCTAGTTTTAATTAATTATCAATGGAATTTAATATTAGGATTCTGACTTTGATTACTTTTTATATATGCATTTTCATATTACTGTACTGTTAAACAATTTTAAACAGGTTTCACTGAAAACCATTTCTATTTAATAAACACTTAACATCCATATTAAAACCTTATTTATCTATTATAAATTATATTTATCTACTAAAAGCTATAACAAACCTCATTATTTCTCTTCCACAGAAAAGTTGTTACAGAATTACTACTGCTGGCTGCTTTGCATACAAGGGTTATATTATCATCTTTCAAAGCTACTTGGGTTTGAGGATGTTCAGTAATATAAGGTTTAGGAAAATCATCTAGTAAAAAAATATATTAATTATTTTAATAAGTGAAAAATTGGCTTTATTTGGCTGCCTAGAATAAAATTTTTCCAATTATAAGATATTTCTTTAGAAAAGCTTTTTCCACCAGTAAACTCATAACTTATTCTTGCATACTAGGATTGCATTCAATATCATTTGTATTTGGAGATGACAATTTCTCTAAAATGAAGGTCAGGAATGTAGAAATCCTTTCCAGATGATCCTTTATCTCATTGTTTCAGTAACAAGAAGCAATTTATCCTGTTCTGGAGGAATGCACTGCTGAGATAAGCAATCTTTAAGAAGAAAGCAATATTATAATTTTCTAACTATCTGCTTTTTTTAAATATTCTTTGCTGTTATATAATTTATAACATAATTTGTTGTTATTATCTGTTACATATTATAAAAATAAATTATTTTATTTTATTGTAAATGACTTTATTTAGATGCCTGAAACTATCTAGAAAGGAGAAAAGAATTCATAATGAAAGGTTATAGATGATGACCAAATTGAAAAAATGTTTTGTGTTATAGGAGAAACTAACACTAATCTCAGATCAGCATTGTTTTGGAAGTGATGTATCTGAAGAATTTGGAAAATTGCAAAATAATGAAAACGAAAAAATGGAAAAACAAAATAATAATATTGAGATATCAGATGGTAAAAAACTGATAAATATTAGTTTTTCTGAAAATTAATGACATAATTTTTAATAATAATTGAGTTCAAAAAATAAAAATATACTTGTTTTTTTTGTCAGTATTTTACAATAAAATCATTTAACAAAATTAAATCCAAAAATTTTTCGTAATTAAGTATTTTCTGTTTAAAATATAAGATAAGTAGAAGCAAGACTAAATCAAATAATGGCAACCTTTCTATAGTAAACAGCTATACAACTTGTCACTATTTTGATATGAGATTAGACACTAAAAAATAAATTTTTTGCAAATTCCACATAAAAGAAATACTGCATTTTGTAATTGAAATGTGAATAATATGGATAACTCATGTTCATATTGATTGCTTATAGCCTTATAAATTTTTTTCACTGGACACATGTACATTGTAAGTGATTTATAAGTCTATGTTTGAGAATTTATATCTATAGAAAAACTTGTAGAGGCCACAGGTTGTCCATGCCCACATGAAATATTCTGAATATAAGCAAGACAACTTGTAATAACATTTGCATGAGAGGTGTCACTAGATAGTTGCTTCACAACGTGAGATCCCATATGGAACAAGGCATCATGCAATAGTTTCAGCAACAAGACTGGAAAATATTGTTCAACTCCAATCTTATGCTGAGGATTATCACATACTTGGCTCTTTCAAGCAGCATCAGCATCTAGTCAGTTCACACTTTCAGACAAATGGCAAAATGAAACATGTCAGCATAGGGCTCCATTAACATGATTCAGACTTCTTTCACATGATATCAGACTTGGTATCACACTGACACTAGTACTTAAATAATGAAGACTTTGTGGGATATTAATGATATTTCTTGCTACATATTATCATATGTCAATATGAAAATAAAATTCACTGTTCCATACACAATGGAACATTATTTATCAACCAAATTATAAGTTTTCCATAAATAAACACTACTGGCCATTAAAATTGCTACACCAGGAAGGTGGCACACCACACACATGAAATTTGCATGACAAATAGAACATGCTGTGATATGTGAATGATTAGCTTTTCAATGCATTCATGCAAGGCAGGCGATGGTAGTGACACCTACAATGTGTATAAAAGAAGGGACTTTACAGGAGGTTTCTTATATAGAAATTGCATTTGAACACTGTTTTCTGGTAAGAGCATTGTTGTTATGCCTCGTGTAACGAGGTGAAATGCCTACCAGCACATGTCTGACTTTGATCGAGGTCAAATTGTAGTCTACCAGGATTGCGGTTTATCATACCACAGTATTGCTGCTTGTGTTGGTCACGATCCCATGACTGTCAGCAGAATATAGAATCAATGGGTTCAGGATAGTCATACAGAACGCCATGCAGGATCTCAGCAGTCTCCATCACTAACAGTCGAGAAAACAAACATCTTATCCATATTGCCTTAAAAAATTGTACAGCCACGTCACAAACGCTTATTCAAGAAATGGGGTCATTTGCAAGACAACAAGTGTCTGCACGAACAGTTCGATGATGTTTGCAGCAGCATGGACTGTCAGCATGGCGACAATGGTTTTAACTACCCTTAATGCTTCATTACAGGCAGGAGCACCTCCAATGGTGTGATCAATGACGAACCTGGACGCAGGAATGGCGTAACGTCATCTTTCAGACGAATCTCAGTTCTGTTTAGAGCACCATGATGGCTGCATCAGTGGTGGCATTGTGGAGAACGCACATTGCCAGATTGTATTTGACATCATCATACTGGCCCATCATCTGGAGTGATGGTATGTGGTGCCATTGGATATATGTCTCGATCACCTCTTGTTCACATTTTCAGCACTTTGAACAGCAGCCGTTACATTTTTGATGTGTTAAGGCCTGTGGCTCTGCCCTATCTTTGAGTCCATAATGCTACATTTCAGCAGGACAATACACAACCATATGTTGCCCGTATTGTCCTGACCTTCCTTGATACAGAACATGTTCGACTGTTACCCTGGTCAGCACATTCTCCTGTTCTCTCTCCAATTGAAAATGTCTAGTCAATAGTTGCCGAGCATAGTGACTGGCAAGTGGCATGCCACCACTTGCCAGTCACTATGATCAATGACCTGTGGCATAGTATTGAAGCTGCATGGACTGCTGTACCCATACATGCCATCCAATCTCTGTTCGACTTCATGTCCAGGCAGATAAGTGTTGTTATTGCTGCCAAAGGTGACTACTCTGGGTATTGATTTCTCAAGATCTATACCTCCAAATTTCCTGAAAATTTGATTATTTGTTCTTCCCACTATAATGTATGTGTCTAATAAATATCATTCTGTTTTTTGCATTCCTTCCTGGTGTAGCAATTTTAATGGCCAGTAGGGTATTTAAATACTTATGAATCATACTGATATTTTAATTTTAAATTACTGATAAATACATAACTAATTTCATAACTTTTACATCATAAAAAATTAATTCATATTAAAAATATATAAATTTGTACTTTACTAAATTAAAATAATAAGAAAAAACTTATTTACCACAAGTAAAATTTTTAGAATTGACTTCAATAACACTTTTATTTTTTAACCATTCTGGATGATTGCAATTAGCTATGACAGACTGCTGGAATTTAAATAATTCTAACCATTCACGAAACCATTGGAGTGAGCAATCACAAAGTAAACTGCTACTGTTGAATCGTCTATAATAAAAAAATGTATTTGTACACTTAAAATACAGACTATAATTTCATTTAGCATTCACAGCAAATTTTAAGGTCAAATAACATAATATAAAAACTATAGATGATATTAAAAATATATAATTATTTGAAATTTTATTCTATATATTTAATGATCTATCACAGTCAGTTATTATAAAGAAAATAGTATGGTTTTAAACTTTATCAAATAATAAAATTTGGGGATATAAAAATAAAAAAATATGCAGATATATCCTAATTAAGGATAGTATAAAATTATAAAAAATACTTATAATATTTACCTAACAGTAATTAACTAAAGTAGAAAGATTCTTAAATATTAAAACTTTAATAAAAAATTTCTAACTGGTTTGGCCTATTTCTTTATTATTAAAATTTTTTAAAACATTTATGTAATAATTGAACTAAAACAAGTACACAGTGTCCAAGAATAGTTATGCATTAGAATAAATAAACACTGATTTACAGATTCCAATGTATAATTACTTATGAATATTGTATACTTGTTTTAATTTGTCTTTATCTTTACATGATAGAAATTACAGTGGTACCTCGGTATACGTCTGCTTTAGAATACATCCAATTCGGAATACGTCCTGTTTGGACGAAACAAATTTTGCTCAGTATACGACTTTTGTTCGGTATACAACTTAATTCAATTATACGGGCCATCTATAAACAAGTAGCACTATCGGTGTACTAGACCAGACTAGACATTCGCGATGCCATGGTTTATAACTTTGTTAAATTTCTTCTGATTTTAAATTTTAAGTAAAATTTTATTATTTTTATTAATCATGAATTGCAAAAAGGCAAATGAAAAGCAACAGAAAACTAAAAAAATGACCAGAATCACAATGGAACTGAAAAAAGAGATGTTGAGGAATATGAAAGTGGCATGCATGTTCGAGATTTAACTGTTGCATACCATATTCCGAGAACAACGATATCAACAATCGTGAAAAATAAAGACATTATTAAATCTGCTAACGTTGCAAAAGGGGTTAAATCAATTTCTAAACAGAGATCGAAGACATTAGATCATTAGAAATTGCTTTTGCTTTGGATAACTGAAAAACAGTGTGCTGGAGACAGTGTATCAGAAGCAATTATTTGCGAGAAAGCTAAAAAGATACATGCTGATCTCATGAAAAATCAAGCAGAAACTAGCCAGGAAAGCGAGGTGTTTAAAGCCAGCCATTTTTTTTACACGAGAACGGATTAATCATTTTTACATAACTTCTTATGGAAAAGGTTGGTTTGGCATACGTCCTATTCGGTATGAGTCCAAACATTAGGAACGGATTAAGGTCGTATACTGAGGTGAAAACCAATCTTACCAATATAATTTTACATTTATTAGAGTTATACAAATAGCTAAGTAAGTAAGAATATGTTAATTAGTAATGTGATATGATTAATAATTATATGTAACTTCTCTGCTATCTTACGTAGATTCATTGTTAGTTTGAGAGGTGTCTTTATATTACTTATCATTGTTTTTGTGTGAGTATATACATTCTCTTTTGTATCACAAAGAAAAGATTGTGAGTTGAACTAAGAATTCAGTTCAAAAACTAATGTAAGATTTCTATTTATGAAAAATCCTTAAACTTCAATTTCCTGTTTGCAACAAATATTTTTAGAAAAAAATTAACATGTACAGACATATATCACATCTGACAGAATCATTTTCAATATAATTCATAATATATAATAATTATTTATAAATTCTAATTCTTAATGCTTTTTTTGGATGGCTAGGTTTTAAAATGTTTTATAAAATTTTGTATTAAAAAATTACTTACAATTCTTGCAATCTTCTTAGCTCAGAAAAAGCATCTTTTTGAATGGAAGTTATTGGATTGTAGGTAAGATCTAAAGTTTGTAGACGTGGAAGACCTACAAATGCCTTCTTTGCAACAGATTTAATATGGTTATGAGCTAAATTAAGTTTCTTTAATTTTCCCATACCAACAAAGGCACCATTTGTATCTTCAATAGTCCAAGAAATTTCATTATTATTTAGTTCTCTGTAAAATTAAAAGAAGCTATTAGAATGAATATTAAATACATACAGAAATTCATTACATGAAATTATTATTAATAACTTCCAAGCAATAAATACATTTATGTAAGTCAAATAACTTATTCAAAGTCAAATATTTATTTGACCAACAATATATTTATTAACTTTAATTTTGCGAAGATAATACTTTGAAATTTAGCTATAATCAATTGAATCTTTAAAACATTAATTGNACAATTTTCAGAAAACTTAATTTGCTTGACATATAAATTGTATACTGTTATGGTATTTTTTGGTGCTTATCAAATAATTATTAAAGATATAAGCATTTGGCAAGCCATTATCAATATAATTACAGACAGTTCTTAAGTTTCAGACAATTCTTTCTTAAAATTATATATAAAAGTTGAACATCCCAAAGTTGAGCAATAGTGTTGCATATTATAACGAGGTTCTGTTCTCAGGGGAAGATACCTCTTATAAAGATAGGGAAGTTTTAGCTTTTTTCCAGTGAATGTAACAAAATCTTATTTAAAATATTAAAACAGATTAAACAGAAAACAGACAACAATTGTGAAAATTAAGATTTATTATCAAAACTAAAACTGGCAGAAAGCACTGTCACATATCTCAAAAATTCTGTTTGTCAGAGAAAAATGTATGAAAGTACAATTTGGTATATGAAAGAGGAAGGTGTCTGAAAACTAACAACTGCCTATTTAGCAGAAGATAAATTAAATGTAAAATGATAAATGTCACAGTTTATAATGATTGAGTAAATTAAAATGATTAAAATTGAATAAATTCAAGTAAAAACTAATAAGTATATTTATATAAAATAATAGAATAAATCCTTTATCGGTAATTAAAAATATTAATAAATATAAGCAAATATGTACAGTTATGAAGAAACACATAATTTAAATCTGGTTATCTTTGAAAATAAAATGCAAGTGTATTGTTTTACTTTGTTTTTATTTTGAAGAATGTAAATTGTATAACATTGCTTTCATTATGAATGACATAATTTATGTAGTTTCGAAATATGCAACACTCAATCCAAGGAAAAGTTCTTGTTATACCTGATAATAATAAATATTTCTCTTTTTTTTAGATAAGACTAAAATTTAATTCTAATATAAAATACACCAAACAATTTTTAAATAGAAAAATGGATGACTCATAACAAGGATTATCAATCCAACATACCAGAAATTTATAATATATAAAAAGAACTACTCAAAGATATAGAAAATGATTTTATAAAAAGAATATCCTCAACTAATTCAAAACATGATAAAAACAATCACACAAAACCAATTGTAAACAAGGTCATTTCTTTGATTTAAAAAAGAATATATGTCATTTTAAAAATGTAGAACTAATCATTTCTAAATAATACTGTCATAAATTAATTTTGAGCTGACAATATAATAGACTATTTTGTATATTGAAGAGAAAATGCATTTTTAAAATGTTTTAAAAAAGTAATCAATTTAAGGAAATCAATGAAAAATTTATATTCTAGAAACAATAAAAACATTTATGCAATATGAGTCCTTATTTCAAATGAAAATAAAAACTAATTCAGATTTATGTTTTTTAAAATCAAGTAAAGTAACATAACATTGACAAATTAATACATTTTTAAAAAGAATGACAAAGAAAATTGTAATAACTATAGACATATTCCTTAAACTCAATTACCAAATTATTTAGGAAAATAATAAAAACAAGAATTGAATGCAATAAAAATTGTTTGAAGAATTATTACCAATAAAAAACAATAAAAGGCAAAACAAAAGAAGCTAAATGACGGTAAGACAAAAGAACTAGCAAAATATAATGAAAGTAACAATAAAAGTTTATTAAAAGCAAAATGTGAATTTATAACACAAATCTGATAAAGTTTTATATTTTAATAGAAAAATAAGATAACTGAATAGATATACATATATCAAAATTAACTGATACTTACAGAATATGAAGTGAACTCAAAGAACGAAATGATCCTTCTTCAATATATAATATATAATTATATGAAAGATGTAATTTCCTCAATGAATTCAAATTCTTTAACATTTCTTTATTAATACTTCTTAATTCATTATAACTAAGATTCCTAATATTTAAAAATTCAGTTATCAATTATCATTAAATCAATAAAATTACATTAAAATATTGAAAATAATTATTAAATTACTTACAGTTCTTTAAGCTGCTTACAGAATTCCCAACTAAAGTTATCTATTTTTGATATTGTATTATGACTTAATGATCTAAATAAAAATAACAGCAAATTAATACTCTCAATTTTCATATCATTAAAATAATATAAAAGTTTTCTTAAGACTCACAGATGTTGTAATGATGATAAACCATAAAGCCATCTTTTATCAACTCCTGTAATATTGTTATGATCAATATGTCTAAAAAGAAAAAAGAAATATATATAAACTTGTATTTACCAAGAATATACTTTTAATTTTCTTAAATTAAAAATCTTAAATATTAATTGATTTAAATAAAGAAAATGTCCTGAAAATTATATTTTACATTTCAATTTGTCAAATTTTTCTTATCGTATTTATAATATTCTTTTAGTCAAATTTCTAAGATACTTTATGTATAAAAGATGAAAATATTTTCTATAAATATATAATAAATCACTAAATCTAAAACATGTGACTGATCCATATGTTTTTGATTTAGTAATTTATTATATATTTACATTTGACCTCGTTTTCTCCTATACCACATATCTGAGGCATAAAATAAATGTTTTGTGTTCTTCACTCAAAAATAAATAAATATTAATCTTAATGAAAGTAATAGCAAGAATATTTTCTTTTTAACAATGAGTTAATTGATTTTTAATAAATAATTACATAGCATATAATACTCTAACTTGTCTTATTTATAGTAATCAGTTTTATATTTTGAATTATTTTAGAAATATATTTTCTTTTTCAAACCAATCAACTGTTATTTAAAAAAATTCAATGGTATTAAAATAAAAACAATTTCATTTTTATTATGAAATTAATGTCAAATTTTCAGATTATNTGTTCATCCCTGATGATGGTACATTAATCAAATCAAAAATGTTAGCATGCATTGAATACTTCTATTTTTTGAATTATTACTTATTTTATGTATTATATATAAATGGAGAACATTGCCATGTTTAAATATTTTGAAAAAAACAGAAATTTATATACAGTAGACCCCCTATAACACTGTTGATAATTCCATGTTGTACGAGTCACTTAGATTTTACAAATATGTGAGCCGTTCACAGCCCGGCACATATATTTGTAAAATCTAAGATGACTCGTATAACATGGAATTATCAACAGTGTTATGGGGGTCTACTGTACTAAATGTAACTGTTAATTTTGATATAACAATGTTAGAATTATTATATAAGGTGAAAATAAATCCAGACAATATAACTAAATAACAAAATCAATAATGTAACCTAACATATATTAAGGAATATAATAAAATTAGAATTTAAAAACAACATTTAATTTTTACTTACAAAGATTTAATATTATTGAGACCAAAGAATGCGCCATCAGATAACTGATTGATATTATTATATTTTATTTTAAGAGTTTCTAAGGAATTTAAACGTTCGAATATAAGTCCTTCAATCTGCTGTATTCTGTTGCGATTCAGATCTCTGAAAAAGACACAAAAATATAAGCTAAATATATATTATATGTTTTTTATTTGTCTTAATAAATGTAAATAATAATAATTGTAACCTAATTTACTGAAAAAAAGCTACAAAATGAAGTTAAACCATCATCCAAAACATTTTTTCCTGTGTTATATATATATTCATAATCATCATATCATCATAATTATAAAATTGTAAATCTATCATATATGATAGTACAGATTTTACTAAGACACTTATCACTATTTAATTCTATAGCTAGGGTGATTTTTTTAAACAGTGCAATGTCTGAGTACCAAGCAGTGTGGCATGAGTTTACAAATCAGAGAGTGCCAGATTTTTCTTTCACATCCATTTCCTTCAATTTACTCGGCTCTCTTTCAAAGTTAGGAATGTTCCCAGAATTTAAAAGAATGGGATATGATGATCATTCCACCCTCTTATGTTATGTTGGTGGTTATTAAATATCACATTCTGATCAACTCTTTGCTCAATTATAAATTAGTGAATATTTAAATTGAAAATATATATTCAGTGAGATATATTTTTAAGAAGTGAGAAATTTCAACATTTTAATTTTTTGTTGCATAATTATTAAAAATATGTTATAGCAACAATTTTCAGAAAACTTAATTTGCTTGACATATAAATTGTATACTGTTATGGTATTTTTTGGTGCTTATCAAATAATTATTAAAGATATAAGCATTTGGCAAGCCATTATCAATATAATTACAGACAGTTCTTAAGTTTCAGACAATTCTTTCTTAAAATTATATATAAAAGTTGAACATCCCAAAGTTGAGCAATAGTGTTGCATATTATAACGAGGTTCTGTTCTCAGGGGAAGATACCTCTTATAAAGATAGGGAAGTTTTAGCTTTTTTCCAGTGAATGTAACAAAATCTTATTTAAAATATTAAAACAGATTAAACAGAAAACAGACAACAATTGTGAAAATTAAGATTTATTATCAAAACTAAAACTGGCAGAAAGCACTGTCACATATCTCAAAAATTCTGTTTGTCAGAGAAAAATGTATGAAAGTACAATTTGGTATATGAAAGAGGAAGGTGTCTGAAAACTAACAACTGCCTATTTAGCAGAAGATAAATTAAATGTAAAATGATAAATGTCACAGTTTATAATGATTGAGTAAATTAAAATGATTAAAATTGAATAAATTCAAGTAAAAACTAATAAGTATATTTATATAAAATAATAGAATAAATCCTTTATCGGTAATTAAAAATATTAGAAAGACTATTCTAAAATGTCAAATATTACACCAAAGAATATTATAAAATTCACTAACTAATTAAAATATTATTCCACTGTATATCATTGCATTTATTATTATTATTATCAATAACATCATTAAATTATAATATTAATAATTATTTAATTATTTTTAATTGTTGAATACAAATACGTGGTGCATCAAACAGAAACCAGACTGCTTTGCTGTTTGACAATAGTGCAAAGTACAGTCTTTTTGTCACCAATAACTGATGCCTCAGACATTTGAGCATCAGTCCGATGAGTGAGAATGAATTTTTCAAATTAGAATGTTTATTACACTCAGTTTTGTAATGTTATATTCACATTATGCTGCAATTTGAGAATAGACTTGAAATAATGTAAATTTTTATTAAACCTTGAAAATTTGCCACAAACATTCTTGAAATGCTTTAGAAAGCTTAAGCAACTAGGCAATGGATAAGACCACCACCTTTGAAGGCAAGACAAGTGAGAAGTATGATAGAATATTCCGACTGTTTTTCAATCATAAAGGGATTTGTACCAGGAATAACAGTTTCCTGGTCAAACAATGAATTCAGACTTTAACTGCAACATTTTGAATCAATTTCAGAAGATGTTATTTGCAAAAGATTAGAACTGTAATGCAACCAAACCTGACTGCTTTATCAAGACCATGCTTCTGCACACATGGCATTAAAAATATGAGCATTTTTGATAAAAAAAAAAAACAACACAGCAGTATTCTGCCATCTTCCTTACTCACTGGATTTAGCCTAATGACTTCTTTTTGTTCTCCAGTGTTTCAATATGATTAAGGAGATCCAGTCTGAATTGCAACAAACGTCTCAAAATTTTTGAAACAATGACTTCCAAGAATTTGAGACTTAGAAACAGTGGAATTACTATATATATGAAGAAGAGCACTACTTTTAAGGGATCACAGCCACATTTAAATTACTTAAGTATTAAAATCTTTATAGATCAAGTCTAATTTCTTTTTAATTGCACCTTGCATATAAGTGATAATTTAATTTATTATTGCATTTCTGTACTGATCAAATTTAATTTTTAAGTTACATAAAGTACTTGTTATCAAAAAAATAATTATGGTATTCTTCTAAAATGTAAAAATTTAATTCATTGAGGAATAAATATATTACTGAACAATGATAGTTTTAACTAGATCTTCAGTGTATAAATAAATAAAATTTGTAAAATCTATGTTTTCTGTGATAGGACAATCTTCTGAATAATACACTAAAAATTAAAATATAGTATAAATATAACCTGTAATATTTAAGAAATTTTAATTTATGTTAATCATTGTTCTATTTTTTATTTTGTATTTCTCCTCCAATGAGAGCGACTTCCTGTGCATATTTAAATAAATATATAAATAAAAATAAAATAAAATAATTATATTATACATGTACTGTACATAAACATTAAACAGCAACCAGACTCACATTTCAATAACAAAATATCTAAATTTCAGATTTTCTCATGCAACAATTAAACTAATTTTAATTAAAGAAACAATGTAATTTGGTAGGCAATTAGATACCATATTGTACTAATAATAATTACTTTAATTTAGAATATTCTGAAGATCAGCAACTTATAAAGCAGAAAGAAGTTGCAGAAAAAAGCAGAAAAAGGTTCAAGCCACATGCCGAGCCAAATTTTCCAGGTCTGAAGAGAATCTTTTTCCATGTTCAATGCAAATTCAGTCAGGAACATAGTGTGGGCAGACAAGTGATGAACTAAATATATCTGGGTCAAAACCATTTATGAAACTTTCAAACTTTAAAGCTGGGTCCTCAGTGTGGGAGGGTGATATTCTTTCATGCCTTGACCATCTGGCCATCATAGAAAGCTGATTATATTTCACAACAAAAACAATCATTGATAAGATTATCATATAAACGCATTAACTTAATTTAAGTAAGTAATTTGGCATATTTAACTAAAGACAGATTTCTTGAAATTTAAATAGTACTTATTAAAACTCAATAAATCAGAATTCAATTAAATAAAATCAAATATTTTACTAAAACCATAAATTATACTGTACAATTACTTCACATAATGTCTAAATAAATAACTCTTTTGGATTTTTTAAATTAAATAAAAAATGGAAAAAAATAACTTGTAAATACATTGATAATATCTTATTTATTTCATTTGTAAACAACTTTGCACTTAATTACTTACTTTTATTGTGAAATAGCATTATAATTGTAGAGATTTTATTACAATGTATTTTTCTGCACAATTGTTTATTTTCTATAATCATTCTTATGATATAATGAAATAATCATTCCATGTGAAATCAAAAACTGAATTTATTTTTAACAGATATATTATTAAACTTAAAATTACACTAATTTTATATATTTTGTATTGTTTTATCATCACTAAATATAGTTTACACAGACTATTTATCTGATATTTAAGATGCAATAAAAAAATCAATCTTAAAATTCTTTAAAACTATTTTACAGAACTTTAATAGTTATATATATATATGTATATTCAAATAAAATCATTATACAAAATAATATTTAAAAATTTATTTGTTGAATTTTATGAAAATATCATTTTACTTTTACAGTTATTGTTTGTTAAATAATAAAGCCTTGAAAAAGACTAATGAATACCAACCTTTTCTCTTTTTAATATGTCTGTTTCTAAGTCTTTCATGTTATTTACTTGTTTTTCTTCTTGTTTAATGTTTATAAAAGTTGAAGTTTTAAATAAAAGTTATATTTTAAATCAAATTTTTCCCTTACAGTGGCAAAAATTTTAATATTAATAATTCAAATCATCATAATCTGTCAAACATATTTTGTCTCACTCAAATATTAAATTATTCATGTATGAGTAATAAACATTAAATGAGATCTTTATGATTAAACATAAAATATATTGGATATTTTGGATTGTGCACTAAGTCTCAAATGCTTTATCCTGATCAAACTGTATACCCAATTATTTGTAATAAGAATAAATAAATGAATACAGAAAAAGAAATTCATATTTTATGTTTTATATAAAAATTTTCTCTAAAAAAAATCCTTTAAATGTTATACTCTCAATATGAATATTGTAATTCACTTCTGTGAATAGAGAGGATGACTCCTTATTTTCAAATTAATGATTAATTTTTTAAAATGATCAAGCAATGTTTTATTGAAATTAAACATCTACTATAAACAACTTTAATTTATTTATAAAATTTATAAATACTTGTATTTATAATATTAATATATTCTTTCCAACTGAAAGTTTATACATAGAGTTTTCTCACAACAAATACTAGACCAAAGAAATAAACAACTGTCTCAATTACAAACTCCACTATAACTATCCATTTTAAACTATTTACAAAATTAACAGGATGTACTCATGCCAATTAAATGAAATCATCATCAGGTGAAACATATTAACTTCAATATTTATTTGAAAATGCCTACATTAACATTTTACAAAGTACTTGATATTAAATTTCCAAATAAATATGAAAGTAGATTGTTAAAATATAAATATGATATTACTAAAAATATACTGCTTATTTTTTAAATTTATAAATTATATAATATATATTTACACACAATTCAAAAGAATTTCAGATAAAGACGACAAAAAATGATTATTTGTTTATAAATCTCTCAAAACAAATTTGTTATAACTAGTTTTTGAATTTTATCCTTATTTAGTTTATTTAAATTTAAT